CAACCATGCGTGCATCCTTGGTGTGCCATGGCTCAAGAAACACAACCCCCAGATCGACTGGTGGAACGAGAAAGTTGTGATGAGCCAGTGCGCGTGTGAACAACGGACGGACACGCGACAACGGGAGAAACCCTCCCAGGGCCGGAAGGAGTTATGTGCAACCTCCGAGCTCGATGACCTAGCCCAGGCATCCTCACCGACGAGTATACCGGTGGAGTACAAGGAATACGAGCAATTATTCCAGGAAGGCCCTAAGAACGAGGCGCTTCCTAAGCACCAACCATGGGATCACGAGATACCTTTGGAGAAAGACAAGAGTCCACCGTTCGGACCAATATATCAGCTATCGGAAAAGGAGCTGAAGGTACTTAAGGAGTACATCGATGATAACCTAGCGAAAGGATTCATCAGACCATCCACATCACCAGCAGGAAGTCCGGTGCTTTTCGTACCAAAGAAAGACGGCTCCCTACGGTTATGTGTGGACTATCGAGCATTGAACAACATCACAATCAAGGACAGGTATGCCCTGCCGTTAATCAACGAACTGCACGATAGATTTCAAGGAGCAAAGATCTTCAGTAAGCTAGATCTGCGAGGAGCATACAACCTGATCCGAATCAAGGCTGGGGAAGAGTGGAAAACAGCATTCCGCACCCGCTATGGCCTATTCGAGTATCAAGTCATGCCCTTTGGGCTAACAAACGCACCCGCATCTATGCAACGACTGATGAATGATGCTTTGCACGAATACTTAGACATCTTTACCATTGTCTACCTAGACGATGTCCTGGTGTATTCAGCAACCAAGGAGGAGCATGTCAAGCATGTCAAACTCGTCCTGAAGAAACTAAAGGAGTACAGCTTACTCCTCAAACCAGAGAAGTGCGAGTTCCATAAAAACCAAGTCAAATTCTTGGGTTACATTATCGGAACGCACGGCATCAAGATGGACCAAGCAAAAGTAACGGCAGTGTTGGAATGGCCAACACCGACCATGGTCAAGGAAGTGCAAGCCTTCCTAGGCTTCGCCAACTTCTACCGAAGATTCATCTCAAGATATTCCAAGGTAGCTCAACCACTCACGGAGCTTACCAGAAAGGATCTCGAATTCAAATGGACGGACAAGGCAGAGGCTGCTTTCCAGGAACTTAAGACGAAGTTCACGGAAGCACCTATCCTTGCTACATTTGACCCTGCAAAGAAGATCATCCTCGAAACGGACTCTTCTGACTTCGCAATTGGAGCATGTCTGAATCAACCAGACGAGAACGGTAAGTTCAAACCAATCGCGTACTACTCTAGGAAACTGTCACCCGCGGAACTCAATTACGACATCCACGACAAGGAGCTACTGGCTATTGTCGTTGCCTTTGAGCAGTGGCGAGTATATCTTGAGGGATCCACCTACCCTGTGCAGGTATGGACGGATCACAAGAACCTCATATACTTCACCACGACCAAGGTTTTAAACCGCAGACAAGTCCGCTGGGCAGAAACCCTCGCAGCCTACAACTTCACGATAACCTATCGCAAGGGCTCCGAGAATGCAAGAGCAGACGCTCTCAGCAGACGGACCGACTACGCCGGCCCAAAGGAAGAAAGACCTAGAGCAATTCTGAAGAAAACAGATGCAGGAATACAGTACAACGAGTTACTAGCGACGATCTCAGTCATCGAAGATACAGAACTCGAGGAAAGACTCAAGAAAGCTTACGCAACAGACGAATGCGCCAAGCGAGTCTTGTCCAAAGTCGAAGGCGACTTCACCATCGACGAACAAGGATTGATTCGATACAAAGGGTTAGTGTATGTCCCAAGTCAAATGAGACGCCCGCTGGTGCAAGAACAACACTCGTTACCAGCACACGGTCATCAGGGAGTAACACGAACCTTCGAACGAATCACCCGACACTACTACTTCCCAGGTATGAGGAAGCAGGTAGAGACAGTGGTAAGAGAGTGCGACATTTGCAGCAAGTCAAAATCCAATAGGCATCTGCCATACGGACAACTCAAGTCGACACCAGTACCAAAAGGAGCGTGGAAATCAATAGCTTTGGACTTCATCGTCAAGCTTCCACCCTCCAAGGACCCGTTAACAGGAATAGAATACGACTCTATCCTCGTCATCACGGAAAGACTCACGAAATATGGGAAGTTTATACCATATCTAGAAGCTAGCGACGCCGAGGCGCTCGCATATACCTTCATTCGAGTCATATTAGCCGATCATGGGATGCCAGAAGAAATCATCTCAGATAGAGACAAGCTCTTTACTTCGAAATTCTGGAAATCATTGATGGCTCTACTGGGAACAAATCATAAGCTATCAACAGCTTTTCATCCCCAGACAGACGGCCAAACAGAAAGATTAAATCAGACCCTTGAACAGTACCTGCGAAGCTATGTCAATCATCAACAGGATAACTGGGTTCAGATCTTACCCATCGCACAGTTTGCATATAACAGCGCGATGACAGAAGCAACGAAAGTCTCACCGTTCTTTGCCAATTACGGCTACCAGCCAGAAGCATATAGGCAACCAAGACCGGATGAATCACGAGCTGAACAAGCCCTGATCGTGGTGGAACAACTGAAATCGTTCCACGAACAACTTGCGACGGACATCCAATTCTTAAATGAACGATCCGCCGCATACGCAAACAAGAAGCGCAGTATGGAACCTGCCTTCAAGGAGGGGGATAAAGTATACCTACTCCGGAAACATATCAAAACGAAACGACCAAGCACAAAGTTGGACTTCAAGAAATTGGGACCATTCAAAATATTGAACAAAGTCAGCTCAGTTAATTACAGACTGCAGCTACCCAGGAAGTCTAGACTACACCCGGTATTTCATGTCTCACTACTGGAACCAGCAAGAGGAAATACCCCAATTGCGACCGACACCGAACTCCAACCCGAGAATGAGATAATCGAATATGAGGTCGAAGCGATCCTAGACAGAAGGTTAGTAGGACGTCGAGAAGAGTTTTTGATAAAATGGGAAAATTACGAACCTACGGATAATTCGTGGGAACCAACAAGGAACATCAGCAAAGAACTGCTGGAGGAATATCGACGCCGCCATCCGCCAGCCATTGATCCCAAGATGCAGGGGAGTAGGCCAGTGGATCGGAGGAAGCGGGGGTCCCGGTCACAGACGAGGAGGCAGCGCTAACTGCCTGTTCCTCGGCCTCAACAGCGTCACGCTTCTCAGCAGCCACACGTTCGGCCTCCTCTGCCGCATCAAGCTCGTCGAGGGTTTTCAAACCTCGCCGGAGCATATCTTTACCACGGGTTCGGATGAGGCGTTTCTGCTTCCGCAGACGAAGTAACTTCGAAAGGGTTTCTTCCTCTTCGCGATCCAGGCGATCCTCCTCCCGTTCGAGCTTCACCCAGTCGGGATGCTCAGGACCCATACAGTCACACTTTTCTTTCAAGTTGCGACGAACGCACTCGGCGCACCGCCGTGAATCATTTGGAGACGACACGCAAGTAACGTTTCGCCTCACGCAGTTCGAGCAAGAATCCATTTCGGGTAGTTCGTATCCGTGGTTCTTTATTCGACGGACAAGATCGTTGCGTTCCTGGAGTTTGCGGGCAGTGTCAGTAGGCATGTTGCATGTTGAAGGACTCGCTGAGGAGCAGCAGAGTCCCGGGGACATGGACGTACTTATAGGATTCGAGACGAATGCCCAGGGGAAGGGAGCGAGTGTTACGACGGAACAAGAAGGCTGGCCAACTACAGGACAGGAAGGAGGGAGGTCACATGAGACCGGCCCTGGTACCTGGAGGGGCAGCGGGGAATAGTAGTTCCGAAAGTATCACGTGACGGACTCGCAGGATGATGAGAAGAGTCCTAAGAGTCCAGGACTCCGAGGACTCGAGTGAGTTCCCAGGAGTCCACTAGGCACGTGACGGACTCGCAGGATGATGAGAAGAATCCTAAGAGTCCAGGACTCCGAGGACTCGAGTGAGTTCCCAGGAGTCCACTAGGCACGACGCCACTATATAAGTAGATAGTTAGTTCTTAGATAGGAGCTTCGTGCTCAACTCAATACAGTATTTGTTATATACTAGTAACGTGTTACTTGAAGCCTTTGTGTCTGATCCCCTGCCTCCTCTGATAAGTAAACCTTTACGCAAGAGAACCTCTGTGTCTTCTATCGTTTAGAAGTCAGCGTTACATCTAATACAAATCCGAGTCTATATTATACTCGTCCATTATTATCACAGTTCAATTCCGAAACTATGTCGAGACTATTTCATTACTATGTCCTTCAAAACTCGATTATTAGTTTCATTTACTGGTTATATTTGGTGTCGCTAAGCTCGCTCGAAAGACCTATCATAGTGTCGGATTGTGTCGTTGTGGAGAGATTTTATCGGGCAACTAGTCCTGGACTTGTTTAGGGTGTCTTACTCAGCCCACATATGCCCCATATAAATTTCTTCTGGCACCCTATTACAGTCTGTCACAACCATGTAAAAAAATGGGCCTCCGCCGGTAAGGCACACACCAACTTGGATCCCTTGTGCTACATCACACGACACGAGGCACCAAGTGATTGGATGAATTCCGCGTCGTTCCTGCAAGACCGGTGGAGCGGATGTCGTCTATTCCGTGAGCTCGTGAATCTCTGTCCGGGTACTCCCCGTGCTGTCTACATCTTGCAAGGCCATTTGGTTGATCTCCACTTCACAGGTGTGTTTCAAGTACTTCTAAGAGCCAATCACTTATTTCCGCTGACTCTTGGTAGCCGCGTTATCTCCGGCAGGGCAATTTTGAGGTCATGTGACTTTTACCTTCCCCTCTGTTCAAATACCAGAGGGGTAAGCGCTTGGAGTTCGTTGCGTTCGCGAGTTTGATTGGACGCTATTCGAGGTTCAGCGCTAAGGAACTGGTCGACAAACAATTCGAGCTAGTCGCCGGCGTTGGCGCCCGCTGTCCCTCCCGGTCGCTTGATCAGCGAATCCCTGGTGCTGAATGACTGGACTCTCATCTCCTGAAATCCAAAAGTACCATTTTTAGGTGCCAGTACTCCTATCGTTTATATGTCCCGTGAACTCACACCAGCGATGTTGAGTCCTATTCTTTCGATGTTATACTTTTTACCACTGCCAATGGAATTGTTAGCGTTACCAATCTAACAGAGCGCACAACACTTGCGGTAAAGACGACGTAGTGTTCCTCTGGTTCCCGCAACAAAGAAAGGAATTCTCTTTTCTTCTTCTAGAAGCTTTAGATCACGAAGATGCAGAGTCTTCACCATACGGTACTCATATTAGGCTGATAAAATTGCCCAATTAGGCACTTTGCTAGCATACAAAAAGAAGAAGGGGCTCATTAACGAGCCCAAAAAGCAATAATCTCGTCAAAGTCTTCCGTCGTCAAGCTCTTCGCGTCTCGATCCTCCTTGGTAATCTCCTTTCTCAAGCGACAGGCAACTCTAAGAGCAATGGAAGCTTTTTGCATCTTGCCCATCGCCTCGAACAATTTGCCCTTGAGGAACGTAGTGCGAGCAATCTCGTTCTTGTGTGCACTCGGATCAACAGACCAAATGTCCAGCGCCCCGTTTATCATAGCACTAAGAGAAGTCAGAGAAATGTTTTGCTACTTAGTTGAAGCTGGCAGCACTTACATCGCCTCTTGGCTCCTGCCTAAGCGGATAAAATGCTCCGCGATCTTATGGGTGACATTTGCAGTGTAGAAATCTCCCTCACCCACCGTCGCGCGCATGTGGCGCCACGCTCTCTGGTGGTATTCAAAACTCTCATCCCATTGGTTTTGCGCAGCACGGAGGTTGCCAAGTGCATAAAGAATCAGTCCAGTCCGGACAGATTCCCTATCATCCTTGCCCAGAGCCTTTTCTCTGCGCGCCAAACTGTCCAGAAGAAGCGTGTTGCACTCTTCATGCTTGCCCTGCGCAAGAAGAGCCCAGCTCAGATTGGCCTCGCCCGCCCGGGGAATGTAGTTGCCGAGAGCTTTGCGGATCCCTAGCGCTTCCTTGAGATCGGCTTCACCCTCCTCGTACCGTCTATCCTGAATGCGTGAGATCCCTCGCTCTGCGTAGGCGAGGTATAACCTCTCGTCGACAGTTCCCAGCTCTTCGCAGATTTTGGAAACTAGATCGAGAGAACATTCTTTGTGAACGCGGCTTGTATCGAAGTCGCTCGCATCCATGGCGATAGCTCCTAAGCAGAAGTAAATGTCTGCAAGCAGAGAATCTCGATCCGGGTGTGTTGAGAACTCGCAGATACTGAGAGCAGTTTCGAAGAAGCCATCAAATTCCTTTGTTCGTCCACGCTCTTTTTGATACCTGATAATATTAGAGCAAGAAAAATGCCTGAATATCGTATACGCACCATGCAGCCTCATTCAGTAACTTTGCAAAATGCAACCTGGTGGCCTCGGAGGGATCTAAAATGGCTGGCCAGAGCTGATGTATCCTTAGAACGTGGGGATAAATCGCCGCACAAACAGGCCACCTTCCAACATGTAACCTGCCGCCAGTTGACTTGGGCTGGGGTAGCTCTGGCTTTTTTGATGGCTTGGGCATAGCCGATGGCCAGTTCGCCCAAAGGATTCGAACGACTTGGTCGAACATCAACCGTTTCTTCGTAACATCCATTGTTGCCAAGATTGCATCTTGTACAATGCGATGGACCGATATCTGCTGCTTTTGCTTATCTCTGTGGACCAGAGATGACTGCAAGAGATCAGCTCGAGCCTCAATGTAGTTACTCTTCTTGAACTGTGCGCCGTCGGAAAGCAGTTCCACCGATGCTTCCATCAACAAGCCTTCCCCAATGACATCTGGATCAAGAAATGAAATCAGCTCCAACAGCTGTCGAGATTGAGGCTTCAGCTTCTCAAACGCCCAAACAGTGGCGAGGGAGTGACGATATGTGACTAAATTGGTATCGAACTTTGTCTCATAAAGACTGGCATGTTCTTCATGATCCGTATACAGCTCGAAAAACTCTGACAAGGTAAGGTCCTGTCGACGGATAACACCTGCCATCTGGGAGATGGCCAGCGGGACGCCACCAAGTGCATCGGAAATTTGTCGCGCTGTATCGTCTTCGGGCTCATTGGAAATGCTAGTGAGATGGTTGAATAGGGAAAGGCTGTCTTGCTGTGTAAGTGGGCCGAGATCTAGTCCTAAAGGTCTTCTCGTAAACATGTTTTTAGCTAATGGGTCGCGGCTAGTGACAAGAATTGATCCACTGCCCTGGGGCCAGTAGTCCGCCAGGATCATTGGGTCATCTGCGTTGTCGAATATAAGCAGCCAGGTCGCTTCTGATCTAGCTTCACCAGGTTCAACAAACTCATCCGACCCCGAGAGATAGTTTCGGGGATTGGAGAGCCATCCTTTCACAATTTCTCTGCTGACAATCTGACTCCTACACTCGGATGAATCTTCGAGTCCTAGTGCCAACGAAATTTGCTGGTAATGGTGGTCAAGTTTCGCAACCTTATCCGCCGCGACCCAGAATACTGCATCAAAGGAAGCTTTGTGACGTCGGGAGAACTCGCGGGCTATTTCCGTCTTTCCAATCCCCCCAAATCCGCAAAGTGCGAATTGTCGTAGAGATGTGCCCGACGCTGTCACTATGTTCTTCGAAGGCAAGAGCTCGACCGCAAGACGCTCCAAGATATCTTCGCGGCCGCAGAAATCCTCATTTGCCGAATGCGTATTGAAAAGGAAGCATGGTAAGTGAAGGGTTTTCCGAATCTCAGTGTTTGGTGTTGTAGGATATACCAACTCAAACCCCGAAAGAGATGTTCCTTCTGTTGCTCTGGTCGAAGGCCATTCTGTTGCTTTGTTCGATGACCATTCGGTAAGTTCCAATTGCTCAGCTGATCGACGTCAGTATGGTGACTTGGTGAAACATGGATCTTAAGCTCACCTTTGAGCGGTAGTTCGCTAATCGTTGGCGAATAAGCGCTCATCGTTGCGTATTGGTATTCCTCTGAGACACATTAGCACCATTCGGCAGCTTTCCGCAGCTTTCCGATACCTTCATAACCTACGGTCCTCGAGTCGAAGTGCAACAAGATGCGCAGCGTCATGAAACGTCTCGTAAATAAACTTGTTGAACTCGGGTAAGCCTTCGCCGCCAACGCTCTTAGTGAAAAGACAAGTCTCGTGATGATTGAGGTTGAGGCCAATAACTGTTTCCATTGGGGCATGAGTTGAACAAGCTTCACGGTTAACCAACTAGATTCCGAGTTAGCATTCATAGCTCAGCCAAAGGCTCGGGACTGACTTGTTGGTATTTTGGGCGCAATGTTGTCGAACTGTTTTTCGATTCTCTCAGTTCATACACGGATAGCATGGGGGTACGGAACGCAATTCCTTCGAACCTATCTGCGAGGTCGAGCAAAATGGCGCCTTCCTGCTCGATATTGGCGTTTGAAATCTTCAGGATCTTACCGGTCGTTGCTTCCAGGACGTCTCGAAACCCTACCAAACTCGTGGTCTTCTTGCCATAGCGATGTGGAGTGCTTAGGAAGATAACGCCAGCTATAGCGTTGACAGTTGATCCATACCGAGGAAACTGTTTGTTAGCGACGCACAAAGCCTGTTTGACTACAACGCCACCTAAGCTGTGGCAGACTATTAAAATTGGCTTGTTAGTGGTCTAGAGAAGGTACATCAGCAAGCATGCCGGCAGCTCGAAGGGAACGAATCTAGACTACTTCACTTACCAAAGATTGGTCTGATTGTGATCGCGCATCACTTAAATGTTGGAGAAAGTCGTAACCCAGTATCAGAATCGACTCCCACGAAGGCTTGGTGCCCCCAAATGGCGAAGCATATTCGTACGCGAGGATGCGTGCCCCAGCACCGGAGCCAGGTAGGGTGGCGAGCCATTCTGGGTCAGCAAAGGGCCAGTTCTCCGGTGAGGTAGTTCCTGTGCCGGGAACGAGGACAATGCTACATTTGAGGGTAAGTGGAAGTACTGAATGAGCCTGGCCATAGGGTTCTCTTACTCGACGCCATCCTCAGAAGTATCAACTGAATCCCGCAGGACGTGAAGATGGCCGGCGGTCGCCATGACTGCAGTCTAGTGAAAAGGTGGGACGTTCTGGGGAGAGGAGAAGGAAAGTGGACATGAAGAGCTGTTAAGGATGATGGAGTCGGTGGGACATCAATTTGGGGATGCGGGGCGTTGCACGGATATGCGGGGGCAGTGGCCAGTAGTACGTATATATTAAGCTATCCCGTACGGCTTAACTATTTCAATAATATAACCGAACCGGTGGCATAACCTGGCCGTAATAATATATCTTCAAATAAATACGGCACGGTATAGGCCACGGTATACTAAGGCCCAACAAATGTCGTGATATTTATAGTTACGTGTTACCTTACTGACGCCACTGATGTGGGGGTTGTGTTGCACCTCCAGTCAAAGAGAACGTTGGCTCTACGCTCGAAGGTGCAATGCACCCGGCAGTCCCAAGGGTACTACACAGATGTTGTCATACTATTGGTGTTGGTATTAACGGTGCTATTACAAACATTGAAACAATGAAATCACACAATATAACTCGGATCTTTCTCGCTCCTTCCACCCGTCATTCCTCGCCTAACATCGCGACATCCTCTCCAGAACCTCAGCCACCACCGTTTCAGAACCCGAAAGTCCCAAAGATAAAGAATGTAGGCAAACAGAGTGATCGGAACACATAAGACAAAAAACCACCAAAATCTCACCGTGCTCTGCCCAAGGAGATCAATGTTCATTCCAAACAGGCTGGAGCTGAAGCTAAGAGGAATAAAGAGCGTCGCAAGCACAGTCAACTTTTTGAGTCGCTTAGACTGCTCTATGGTTTTGCGCGATTCCTCGATCGTGGCTTTGTTCATCGCCAGAGTTATGCCCTGAGTGCACATTTTTGACAAGTCGATGCAACGAACATGGAGTTGTTCATAGTCTTCCAAGAGGTCGTTTGTTTCAAAGGCACCGTCGGAACTACTGGATCCAACGTTTCTGTCCGTCTCGGTCTCTGAGCTGTGCCGACGTGTGCCCATGCCCCTGCCGAGACCCGGCCGCACAGCACTTTTCGGCATCGGGCTTTCCGCTTTGCCTCCATTCAATCCTTGACTACTTCGCTCGGCCAACTTGCAGAGTGCACGGGTACTATCTTTCAGCTGCTGGGCATGTCGGTTGAGAATGTTGGAGAAGTATTGAAAAGTTCCTAGCGCGTCAGCTGGAAATCCTTCGGCTATGGTGTTTATCTGGATTTGAATTCTGGACTCCATAAGATTCAAGAACTGGACTTCGGAGAAAGCCGCATGCGCATACAAGGGGATGCACATGGAAAGCGGATCTTGCGGCGCGCGACGGGCCAGGCCGACAAGTGCGATCAATGAATCGTACTGCAAGGGAAGGATGGCCGTGCTTTGGTGAACTTCTGCAGAAGCATTCGCATCTGGATCTAGACGATTGGTGGTGGTTCGAAATGCCATTTTGTGATGATGTTGGAGGATAGGTAGTGGTGTAGCCTTGGTTTCGACGTGACTTGTCCATGGGCCCGGGGGAGACTTTTCCAACGGTCGACCTTGGTCCATCCAGGCAATGACTGAATGCGAATATCAGCAAAGATTATTCTCACGCTATGTAGCATTGTCTCTTACCAGCCCATCCTTTATCTGTTTTCGTGATACAAAGTGAGATCCATTGTTCCATCACAGAGAAGCACGAGCACACAGTGGAATACTCGCGCACCAGCGAGTCTCCGCAGCAGACTCTAGCAGATCCAAGCTGTTGTATCTTGTATGTTCCGAGCTCAATGGATTGATCTGACCGCTGTGACGGGAGATCCTGTCCGCCAAAATCATCGCGATGAAGAAGAGTGCTCACACAAAGTCGAAATATGTTATTTGAGGAACTACCAAGTGATGGGGAGCTGTATGCATGTCTATCAACGCTCGCGGAAAGAAAATCCATGTGTCGCCTGAAGAATTCCGGATCGATGTTGTATTTGCTCCCGATGACCGACACCCACGATGGTGAAATAAAACCTCGAATGAAGACTAATTGCCCCAAGCCTGCCGCTGGAACAGAGGTGGCAGCGAAGAAGGCTTCATGTTGCTCTTGACTATATTGTTGCACATCCCACTTCCTCTCCCCGCTGTTGTATACCACAACTAGATCGTGAGGCTGTTCGGACCTGGAAGCGAAAAGGGTGGCATCTTCTTCCGTTTTCGTTGCGTTGAGAAGACTACGGTCTTGTAGCAGCCAGTCTCCAATGTCGACATAATTGTTTCCCGGGAAGGCAGAGGTGCTCGAATATCTTCTGGAGAGCGAGATGATTGCTCGGGTGTAATTTTCGGGTGTAACTGTCAAGACACGGGTTAGTTAGCCCATGGATTGCGGACCGATGATAGGATGTGACCTTACGTGCGGACTTTCTGCGCTCCATGTTCTATCATGTACCGCTACTAGCATACTATAGCATAGCTAGTAGTATAAATGTCAACGCGCTGACGGTTTGAGCAGCGGTGTTAGACAAAAGGATGATTAAGGTAGAGGCTGGCACAACTTACTGCACACTAGGCCACTTCAGCAGCTGCTACACTCGCGAGTGTAGCAGCTGCGATGTGGTGTAGCTTTAGCCTAGAGTAGTTAGCTGCTGTATATAGCGTAATATACGATAATTTGAGGACCTGCTTGAATTGTTCACATTTTACAACGCTGGACTTTGCCATTTTGACGAGAAATGGGAGAGCTGCGGAAACTGGAGTTTAGATGTAATTCTGCCCTTCCGGCCATACCCCCCACGGCGTTCCCTTTGTAACACCCCACGTGACGTAGAGCCCTTTGTTCCCTCTGTAGAATACTGGCCTTTGATAAATTTTTCTACTTCAGTAAGTGCTTTGGAACTGGGCAGGTGGGGGGAGAGGTGGCGGCGGCCGGGAAAAGATACATCGCGGTACTTCCATTACCATACAAATATATATGCAGGTGGAAGTGCCTACATGTACCCTTTTGCGACCGCTGCCAAGTCTAGTATAGCAGAATGGGAACGATTCAAGCGGGTCTATAATTTGAAGCTGGAGATGTCATCGTATATAGGTACATATGGTGATCCGCCTGTGATTCCGCCTATAAAAGTGATAATTATAATGCCAGGAAGCCAGAGCCAAGCCCGAGGCCGAAGCCGGAGACAGAGAACGAGGATGATATCGTTGTCGGGTCTTCTTGTCATCCTCGCAAGTATAGTAGAGGACGAAGAAGAAGAGCACCGAATATGGGCTCGGCGTTGTCAGTATCATCATCGCCGTCATATTCAGCAACGCCGGCGCATCTCATTTGAGAGTTTGGACGATGTCCAAGCACGGCAACTACTACGGTAAGCACTCCTCTTCTTTGCCCCTTTTCATTTATATTAACTAGTAACTATGTAAATAGGTTCTCGATGAGTGAGACCCACCAACTTACTATACTCTTTCAGCTCCATAACGTGCCATGGAGCGGTAGAGTACAGCCAGCGCCATGGATGGCGCTTTGCGTTGTATGTGCTAGGCTTGCATTTCCAGGGCGGTGGGTATCACTTGCTGATATATTTGGCCGCTCTATAGCCTGGTTAAGTACTGTATTTACAGATACAGTACTCTTCCTACATCAGTCTTACTCAAGGATGCTTCAATGGCACCCTCAACTTACATATGAGAAGTTAAAAGAGTTCGCAGTGGCTATTGAGAGAGTAGGGGGGTGCAGATGGGGTTTGGGGCTTTGTCGATGGTACTTTTCGGTCTCACCAGCGTCCGCAAGGGCAAGATGCTCAGCGGCTCGTATTCTCAGGCCATAAACGGGCTCATGGAATCAACTACCAAGCAGTAGTAACTCCTGATGGTTTAATATCATCACTAACAGGCCCGTGGCCTGGTCCTGTAAATGATTGTGTCATACTGACATTCGTTGCACTCAGTTTGCTATCAAACTCAAGAGCAAACTGTCATACTGACATTCGTTGCACTCAGTTTGCTATCAAACTCAAGAGCAAACTTAGAAATCTCCTCCTCAAACCTACAAGTCACCATACATATCTTGGCTTATCACACCAACAACAGAAGCAATACTACTCAACGATTGCTGCAAACTCTTCTACTACATCTGTTTATGCTACATACATCACGGCATATCATTTGGACACTCATTGAACAAGTTATTAAGAAAATCTCCTCCTTAAGGGGATGGGCCAATACTACCACATGGCATATCTCTACCAACTAGAGGCCTAGGAACATGAACGATAGCTCTAGAAGCTTCTACAACCCTCTATGATTCATTACACGTCATCGCTCCTTAGTTACCCACAAGATTGGTTAAGTTATGACATAATTTGTCTATAGGTACTCTGACCTTGGACCTCCTTTTCACTTCCTATAGGCTAGGAACCCAAGAGATGGTTCTATGGGATTCTCTTACGTTCACTACATGATTAGCAAGCTAGTTGTGGGTCGCACTTGATTTCTAATACATTTACCAAGCCTGGTTAGTCATGGAAAGTCATGGAAAATGAGAGAACTACACTCCTTTGGCATAAATAGGATTGCCCTTTCCTTAAGAAAGGGCAAGCAGGCAATACAGTAAATCGACTAGCACATACTTCTACGTCTTTTCCAAGCTTCCAAGCATTGATCTTGTTATTCTCTGTTTTTGAAAAGTCAGTGAGGTGCTAACCTCTGACTTACCCCTGAGTTCTCAGACTCAACATTTGTTGCAACTTGTCTAAACCACTTCACCACATCATACACCTGATTGCTGCATTGTGGAATAGTCTAAGCTACAACCCTTTGGCTCTGTTTCCTAAGACAGTGTGTTGTCTTAGTAAATTCATCCCTTCCTTGGGTGGCTAGATTCTCATATCTGGTGCACCCAACATTACAGATTGGCCGATGTGGCGGCGCTCTGGTGTAGAGGAGCATATACGAGAGGTAAGAGTATTCTATTATCATATTACAATACTAACAACCATCTAGGTTATGCAAGATCATAATCTATTATATCTATATGGTGATCCTGCATACCAAGCAGGTTATGGTATGGCTTGCCCATGGGCGCACCCACAGGGTAGACACTTTCTTTCAGATGAAAGGAAGGCTTGGAATAGAGCCCTCTCTTCAGTCCGGATTGCTGTAGAACAGGCGTTTGGAGGAGTGCAGGTTCTATGGATATATACAGCATTTGGAAAGGCACTCCGTTCAGGATATCAGCCAGTTGGGGTTTACTATCCTGTTGCAGTTCTATTATCAAATTGCTTTATATGCTTCCGTCATACATCAGCATCTGGATCACGGTTTGCAGTGCCTCCACCATTAATAGAAGAGTATTTATCATTATAAACTATATACATGTATATCTATTATATCCCTTTCTATCCATCTGTACTCTGATGCGTCTGTTGTAATAGATGTAGTATTTGACTCACATCCGCACGTAGTTCTTGGAGTTTTAATTCAACACTCTCGATAGCTTTTGCATTTGACCGCTCAGCAGCATCGGCGCTTGCTGAAAGCTCAGCAGTCCTTGCGATACTCTGAGCGATTTCGAGGATTGCATCTTTATGAGAGGGTGGAGGGGGGTCTTCGGTGCACTGTTTCCGCTTTCGTCTTGGTTGAGAAGCTGAAGTTGACGGTGTAGAGGACTCAGAAATATGAGAATCAGAGAGGATAGACTCAGAGGGGATTAACTCAGAAGGCGGAATGGAAGACTCTATTGAGTTCGATAGATTTCGATGTGAGAACCGGGTAGTTTGAGCAGTTCGCCATGCAATAGATGCTTCAGTTTCTGCTTCCTTTGTCCCTTTTGCTGCATCTCGAATCGATTCCTTATTAGCCCGTATATCAACGATATTAATCCATTGGTCAACTGCATCGTCATATGAAGAAGGAGGATCTTCTTCGCCACTTCGTCCTTCTGGCCGTAATGAGACTTCGCTCCGACGCTCTCGAATAAGACTGGTAATAACTCTTCCAATAGAGTTATGGGTTAAACCTAGCAAGTGTTCCGCCTCCTTAGTTATAAGCCGCCAAAAGGATCTATCTGCAATAACCCCATATATATCCCTTTTTTGGACGCAAAGCCGGATAATCGTTGTCTTTTGGTCTCTCGTAAGCCCCTTCCCCCCCCCCCTTTTCGATGTTATAACGCCATCAGCCTGGCTACTCTGAGCTAAAGCGCTTTGAGCTGTAGCTGCTAGAGAGTCTTCGAGGATAGTGGAATCGCTAGTTTCATCGCTGGTTTGGGGCAATTCAAGCCAAGGTTCGCTGGCGGTATCAGTTGAGAGTTCGTGAGGTGGTGGTTGGGTAGGCCAGGGCTGTGCCATAGGCACTTGATATTGCAAATAGGGGTTGGTAAAAGCGTTATTCATTATTATATATAACTATACAATTGATAATATATCTACGACTTCATTTTCCAACGTTGGATTTTACTTATAATACTAACCTATTTAGGACCAGACTGCCAAGACCTGAGCTGCTACAGTGTAGCAGCTCGCTGCTACACTGTATCAGCTTTAGACTACATTAGGAAATAGTGGCAACAGGGGGGCGCAAGGATTATGGTTACATCATTTCCTATCTAGGCTAAAGCTGCTACGCTGCTACACTCAAATTACGATGCTGAAGTGGCCTAGTGAGGCTGAGTCATGCAAGTCAAGGATGAGACCATTTGAGCGCTTGCGCCAATGCATGATACCGAAACAAGACTCAGCATGGCATTAGCGCCAGGTAGGTGATGAAAATGGTGATGAAATGTTCATTGGGACGCAGTCCCTGATCCGTACCTCTTCCGTATGATAATTAGGCGCAAAATAGCGGAAAGTAGCTTGGGCCAGGCGCTCGCTATCCTACCCCGTAATTGCAAGCAGCCTTATTATTCATGTTGGTTAGGCCCATTCAGAGACGATCAGAGCGATGCGCTGCCTATAGTACCGCATCCTGATTTCTCAATATCCAATTATAGTGCTTCTGAAACCAGAATGTTTTCAAGCACTGCGCGCTAACTACGGGCCGCCGGCCGCCCATCGCCCGGATCTCTAGTGGGAGATATTAGTTACAGTACGGTGACAAAAGTTTCCGTACGGGTCTGTGCACGAGATGGCTCCCGGTGCCGTCAATTTGAATCAAAGTTGGCCTTCGTTCCGTACTCATGGCTCCCCTTGATAGAAAGTAAGTGCCCTCCAACAGAGACATCTATGTATGGCCTTTAGCATGGGCATTATTGGTCGTCGACATGAAAGTGATACCCCGAATCCCCGAAGCTAACAAAACTGCCACCAGCTTCCCCGCAATCCGCGCCTGTATTTTCGACATGGACGGGCTTCTCATCAACTCCGAAGACATAATCACTCTAAGCACGAACCAACTTCTTGAAAAGTATGGAAGGCCTGCCTTTACTCCGTCGATTCGAGCTCAGCTCATGGGTGTCTCAGGCTCGACAAACGGCGACGTGTTCCACAACTGGGCCAAGTTGCCCATCTCCCGCGAGCAGTTCGCCCTTGAATCGAGTGAACAAATGCGACGACATTTTCCGGATTGCAAGCCGCTGCCTGGCGCGGAGAATCTTCTGTCGAACCTCAGCCGTGCGCGTAGTGCTTCTTCTGGGGACAGGATTGAACTGGCATTGGCATCCAGCACCAAGAGCCATAGCTACGAATTGAAAACTTCGAGGCCAGAGACGAAGCGGCTGCTCAGCTTCTTCCCGTCCGACAGGCGGGTCCTGGGTGATGACCCACGAGTGCGACAGGGTCGAGGGAAGCCAGCGCCTGACATATATTTAGTCGCGTTGCAATCGTTAAACTCGGCGGCAGACTCTGGCGAAAAGGCCATCATGCCCAACGAATGTTTGGTCCTCGAAGATAGCGTGGCTGGGGTAGAGGCTGGAAGACGGGCTGGGATGAGGGTTGTTTGGGTACCGCATCGAGATGTGGCGGTCGAGTATCAATTGAGGCAGAAGAATGTACTGGCTGGGAGGACGGGAATGATTGAGCTCGGAGACGACTGGCAACTAGGAGAAATTGATGACGGCTGGGCTGAAAACATACCGAGTCTGGAACACTTTGATTACGAGAAGTACGGCATCGATGTGCCGTCCTAATAATGTTCTCCAGTGAAAGTCAAAATCGGCGTCACACCGGAACACTTCATACAATACAACCCGTCCCATTTACATTCCTTCGGTGCTCAGCTCTCTAGTCCTCATTGCGTTAAACTTGCCTGTTGTATATACAAAATTGATCACAGCGTTGACTGTGGGTATGTCTGGCCGCCACGCTTCTTCTTCCCGTCCATTGTCTTGCCTGTACGTCGGTCGACCCACTGGTTCCATCCCCCTTACATGTACGAAAGGTCACCCCATCTCTGCTGAAGCTTCTGGCGCATTGGAACCTGTTCGGCCTGCCCCTTCTCGCAGTCAAACAACAGATGACGCACCGTGTCAGGTGTTATGCCGCATTCACACTTGTCATATTCCGCAAGATTGAAGCGAAAGAGGCACGATTTAAGGCGATTGTGTCCTATTCTGAGCTGAGCCATGATGGATGCTTCCCCTGACGAGAGCATGTTGTACATCTTGACCGTGTGTTTCTGCGGCAGTGCCCCAGCAATTGCCCGGGTGAGCTTGCCAGCCAGTCTTGGCCCCCAAATGAAATTGCTGGGTTCTCTCATCAGCCTCTCTCTGCCACACCGGAGTGCTACTGATTTCAGCCGGACTTTCTCCACAGCTGGGAGCTGCCTCCTCTAATCTTGTCGCACCATGCGCTTCTTGGTGTGCTTTCTCATTGCCCGCAATCCCCTCGCGCGCTGGAACTAGTCGAGGTACACGTGTACGCCAAGGCAAGAATTAGGCGCTCGCGTCGGCCGTGTATCTACTCCTGCAACTGAGACTCGAAATCCAACAAGCGCTAACTACAATCACACTAACACGAACAGCAGTTGGCGGTTACATGAGATCCTGAATGGACAGCTGCGACTGAGAGGCGAAGTTCGAGAGGAGTGACTGATTAGCACAGGAAGACAAGGTACTGTAAGTGAAACGTCCGCAATTAAATTACTGAATTTGAAGCATCAGGCAAGCTATGAAGCATGTACCCGACGGATCACTAGGCACTGTCCGCAAATTAGTCATGAGGGCGACGATGCGAACGTAATTTTGTTGGGAGAGGAGCCCAGGCTGTTTAGGAGTAGCCACTGAACACGACTTATGCAAAATTATGGGAGAAATCAATGCGTGCATAGATTTTGAGATGCTTACAAAGTACCCATCATTTTTCTCGACACAGTGGGCTTCTCGCTATGTATGGACGGACGTTACAATGGTTGCCTCCTCATTTTGCCTCAAACTCTAAGATTCCTTCACGGCTTATTGTAGCTTCCTTCTCCCAAGAATTCTCACCCGCTGGACGGCCCTTCCACTTAGCGAAATATTCAATCTTTCCTTTCTGTTCTCGCTTCTTAAGTAATTGCACACGTATCGCCTCAAAGTCATTGATGAGATCTGAGCTGATGTCGTCCCGTTTCTGCCACGTATTATCCTCATCCCGGAAGCCTGCCCACTTCACGAGGTACCAAATCACGTTGCCTACTTTTGACTTGGCAAGTAGCGCTTCAACCTCCCACCTCCCTTCCGTGGCGTCGATGGTTTGATTGCTTTCTAATCGTTGGTTCTCAAACCACCGCCTGGAGGCGGTTGGCGAAAGCGAACTGGGACGCGAAAGCGATTGTGGGACACTTCGGGAGCGGACTCACGACGCGACACGACCGACCATGAACACGACTGACAACGTAACAATGCTGTAAATATATATAAGTTATAGAATTAAATAATTAAAAAAGATTTGGATCAATATTGTCAGGCAGTGATTGATCATCACAGCCACCGTCACTTGCATCGTGAATCATGTCGTAGTCCAAGCCTGCAAAGTTCACGTACCCACTCTCCTCGATGGCTAACAGTTGGTCCGCCTCCTCCTCCTCCTCACGTTTCTTCTGTGTAACGTCCGGGTCAATGATTTCTGTATGTAAGCCAATTGGTGGCTCCGTGTCTGGGTTACTTTTATGAAATTCATGTAGGTCCTTTTTCCGTGTACGTTCTGCCTTCCGTGCATCGATGCCAGCACGGAGCTGCATCTTACGCTCAACGTTCACCATGCGTGTTCTCTCTCTTTTCTCCCGTGCTTCTTCTAAAAGTTGCTCCTTTACCTTCTTCTCATAAATCCTTTGCCGTGCATGTTCAACTGTAATAGCACCGCCTTTTTGAATAGATTTCCGACTTCTAACCTTCCGCTGTCGTTGCTCAGTCATAATAGTAGTAATTTGTACAAGCTCTGACTGGAACAGCTCAGCCTCTGTTAACTGAGTTTGGATTTCAGTATAAGAAGATGCCCACTTTTGCCGTGACGGTGAACTAAGGATCTTATCAAATGTTTGACTCCATGTTGAAAGATCATAACTTGCTTGAAATGCGCGTTGTGGTGTTTCTAAAACTTCTGGTTTTGCATATATAGCAACCTTCTCTTGAATCTTTTCATAGTTAGGTGGCCAAATACCTGCATCTCTAAAAGACTTGATACAGTTACCCTTTGTAAATGTCTGCTTACGGATAGTAGACAAGTCTCTAAAGAAAGATATAACATTATAATCTGTATCAAAATTCCGGATTGCTTGTTGAATTGCACGTCGGTGCCAATGTTTATATTGTGCAAACACAGTAACATCTAGCGGTTGTAGAATATGCGTAAGATGAGACGGAAACACATGTAAGTGTATATTGTGTTGATGTGCAAGTATTATAAACTCTGGAACTTCATGTGAGACATGAGAGTCCATTATTAACAATTTCGTTCTTATAGACGGTGTATGTTGAATAAAATGCTGTAGATATTCCATTGCAAGCTCAGAGTTTGTATATCCGGAATCGGATACTGCAACTTTCTCATCACCGTGTAGATTGTCATGGTACCAACTTTCCATGTGTAATTTTCCTTGTATAATAAGGAACGGTGGAAGTGCAATGCCAGCAGCTGAAATTGTCTCTATAACTGTAAGACTTTGTCTGTTCTCTGGAGCTTGTATATAAAGCTATAAATATTAGAATAATATAAAGTAAGATAAGTAGAAACAACTTACCTCCTTTACTGCAGATGGTACCAACACATGTTCACCGGTGCTCATTCCTACACGGAATCCAACTTCATCAAAGTTGTAGATATCACCTGCAGTAATATCTAGTTGATTACACACATCTTTAAATTCATAAAACCATTCTTTAATAGCTGATACTTCATGAGATGCAACCCGTGCTGCTTCAATTGGCCGGGTTTTTATTGTATGGAAGTTGTGTTGTTGTGTCTTAATCCATGTCTGGAACCACCGTTGTGATGGTGGTGCACGTGTTGGAGTTTCTGCTGCACGTAGTTGGCAGATGGCACTGAACACCATAGGCTTAGTTGCACCGTACCCATTTTCGTACGAGCGTTGGATGTATCTTTGTATAGCTGTAACTTGTACATCAGACAGTACTCTGTTCTGGCCTCCGCGTGGCACAGCGGTGCGTTGTGGTGATGCGCGTCGTTGTCGTAGTCGTATAGTCCGGAGCGTACTTGGGTTTACTCTGTACATCCGTGCTACTGTAGCACTCTTCTCTGTTGGGTTTTCATTTAAAAATTCAATGGCATTTAAAAGAGCTTCATTTTTATTTACTTCAACTACCGGCATAGTTGTGGTTGTAGTTGTGCTCGTTGTCGGTCATGTTCATGGTCGGTCGTGTCGCGTCGTGAGTCCGCTCCCGAAGTGTCCCACAATCGCTTTCGCGTCCCAGTTCGCTTTCGCCAACCGCCTCCAGGCGGTGGTTTGAGAACCAACGATTACTCCTTGGCTGCTACGAAGCGGCTGAACCTCCGTGCTTTCTATGTTTCCTGGTGTAGTTGACAGTATGCTTCCGTGGGCATCCTCGGCCGAGTCGGTAGTTGCTGGTAGAATTGATGTGGAAGGAAGTGCATCTTGAAGCTGTGGATCAAGCAGGTCCATTGAGAACCTGGATGGATATCTCACCCCGCTTTCTTTAGCTGAGTTCGTTACCTTGCGTTTCTTGTACTTAGACGTCTGCGAGCGGTTCTTCAGCTTTGTGCAGTAGTGCACTTGCAACGTCCCTTTGGTCCTTTCCGGGAAGTACTCTGCAATTTCATCCCAGGGCAATTTGTCATCCTCTTTCAGCTGTATCAACAGTTCGTCGTCGTCTTCTGAATATGTCGAATGCCTACCAGGTCGGTGCACAATTCGTTCTCGCAAAGGCGGTCGCTTTCTCTGCTTCTGCAGAGCTGGCCGTGACCTCTTTGCATGAGATGCGCAAACCCGTGAATTAGCTGATCCTCCAACTGATTCCCCGCTAGACGTGGAGTTTGATATGTGGAGACCAATTGATGGTCTAAACAAATCTGGAAAATCTACCAGTATAATCGCGGTAAACCTGATGAAGTTGTTTGGGGAACTTAGGGGGAGACCATGCTGAGTCGATGGATGGCACGACAGTATTTAGGGAACCAGTCAACAGTTTTCGCGCCTCTTAGGTTGCGTTGGCCGCTGTCGTAATCGAAGATACAGGATCCGGCCTTTTGAGAGGCCCGAGGCAGATTTGGGATATCGACCAACCATCCCCCGTTTCCAGGAAGCCGCTGTCGTGATCAAAGACTCAGGATGCGGCCGTTCAAGAGGCCTGAGGCAGACATCACAATCGACCAACCGTCCCCCGTTTCCATGAAGCTGTCGTCGTGATCAAGACACAGGATGCGGCCTTTGGAAAAGCCCGAGGCAGGATTGGGAAATCAGCCAACCATCCCACGTTTCCACGAAGCTGTTGTCGTGATCCCAGACAAAGGATGCGGCCTTTCGACAGGCCCCAGGCAGATTTGAGTATCGACCAACCGTTTCGCGTTTTTTATGGGCTCTTAGGCCGCCACAAGTGGAGAAGTGCAGAGGTCAGCCTCAGCTGGCCAATTGTTTGTGCTCCGTAAGCGCTCACAAATACATCATTTCCGAGCGCAGGGGCTATGGCCACCCGACAGAGGACGGGAAGCAGGAAACCGTGTTGGACGGGCTGATGACCACACACACAGGACGGAAAGCAAGAAGCCGTGTTGCGCATAATTCTAAAAACAGTCTTTTGTGCCAACGAGAAACTGGGCTCAGGAATCGGACAATGATAAAACCGGACCCCGAAGCCAGGCATCAACTTTTCGGTTACTAGCTCCGGAAAAACTGACGAAAAGCAGCACCAGTTCTTGTAACCCGTTAGGGGTTTCCTGTTCAAAGTCTTTGATGGTCTAACGGTCATGATTTCCGCTTGTCATGTGACAAAGCGCGGGAGACCGGGGTTCGACTCCCCGTCAGAGAGAATTGCCTCTCTGAGCTCATGCTCAGATATATTTTTTTGCCTTTTTTTATTCCTTCTTCGGCTGTTTAGCTGAATAGAATTGAAAGCCGGTGGTTGGCACACATATAGCCAGAAGCTCGTGCTCATGCTCAGATATATTTTTTGCCTTTTTATCCTACAGTTATTGGAACAATATTTTTCATTTCCAATTCGTTTTTACTATCAGTCTAATTCACTTGGAAAGTCAATGGACGAAAAATGCGAAGGATCCCAAAACCGGAAAGAGTTCTATCTAATCGTCTATAACTTCATTATCATCCTCCCAACACCCGTCACAAAAAAAAATCGACACGCTGAACAGACAAAAAGTCATGACACAGAATAAAGTATATCCGGGTTTCATTTCCATCTAAAAGTCTGAACATCCATGGTTGCAAACGGCTATCAGAAAGTCTAAGACCCTTTTCTTTCCAGATCATGTCAACCTTTACGCAGCCTCCCTATTTCGTGGAGCCAACCGTCATCGCATCGTGAGAGAAACCGTGAATTAAAACGTTTACTCGACATCCTCAACGGCGGGCGTGTCGGCATCAGTCATATCCTCCTCCTTGCTGACCGGCTCCTCCGCGGGCTTCTCGGTCTTCTTGGCCGCCTCGGAAGCCTCGCGCTTGGCCGCAAGCTCAGCGTCCAGCTTGGCCTGGGCAACTTGCCTCTCCTCCTCGAGCTTGTCGAAGTAGCGCTGGGCGATTGGGCCAGCGAGGGAGCGGATGTCGTCGTACTTGGCGATGTAGACGGCCTTGGTGGTGTCCTCGCCCTCATCGTAGAGCCAGTCCTGGAGTAGTAGTTAGTATAGTTTTCTTGAAACATGATGGGGGGTGATATAGACATACCTCGACCTGCTCGAGTCTCGCCTTTAACTTCTCCTTCTCAGCATCGCTGGCGAACTCGGCATACCTGTCATCGATGTTGTTTCTCATCTCGTAGATGTAAGTCTCGAGCTCGTTCTTCTTCTCATCGGTATCCGCGACAAGCTTGTCCTCCATGAACATGTTGTTCTCCCTCTCCGCAGCCAGGGCCTTGGTCTCTGGGTCTAATGATGCGGTACCGGCAGAAATTGGCAGATCGCCCTTGCGGACCTGCTTCTTAACCTTGCGCATCTTGGGTGCCTTGGGCTCACCGTCGGTGTCCATGGCATCGGCATCCTTCTTCTCGTCCTTGTCCTCTGGGATTGGCTCCTCGACCTCGACATCCTCGACGAAGTATCCTTGCTCGACGTTGAGGATACCGTGGAGGTTAATACGTGCCTTAAGCTTGCAGATCATAAAATCATCCTTGGAATCAGCCTTGACGTTCTTGACAGAGAAGCGTCCGATCCATGGCTTAACGGCTCCGGGGAGGTCCTCTGGCTTAGCGTACCTCGCCTCGATGTCGAAGTTTTGCTTGCGGTAGAATGTGAGGATCTTTGTCGATGGCATAACGTTGCCCTTGTTGAAGACGGTCAGAGAGGTGTCCTCATCTGGGATGTCCTCAGACTTCTCCCAGTTGAACTCAATTGGGTATGGGACAATGTCGTGGATGGTGAAGTCGCGGACACGGAAAACGGGCGACAGGATGGCGCAGCTGAAAGCGCAACCTCTGGCAACACCCTCATCCTGGTTGATGGTGAAGGATAATTGCTTGCCGAAGAAGTTCTGGATGCGCTCCTTCAGTGCGGGGACACGAGTGCAACCGCCAACGACCTCGATGGTATCGATGTCCTCAACCTTCAGCTTGGCCTGTGCGAGGGCCTCCTCGAGAGGAAGGTAGGCACGCTTGAGAAGTGGCTCAACAAGTGCCTCCAACTCCTCACGCTTGAGCACAGACTGGACATCAACATCGTTCATCAGAGACTCGATGTTGAGGGGCGCCTGCTGGTTGGCGGAGAGAATCTTCTTCAGTTTCTCGGCACCAGCCGCAACTCTGACCATAGCCTTGGGGTTGGTCTTGATGTCAATCTTGTACTTCTCCTTGAACTCGGCCGCGAAGTGGTCAACGAGGGCCGTGTCGAAGTCGCGTCCACCGAAGTCGCGGTCGTATGCGGTACCCTTGACGGTTAACTCGCCCTTGCGGAACTCGACAATGGAGCAAGTGTAATCACTGTGGCCGATATCGACGAATGCGACACGCCTTGGCTTCTCGTCTGCGGTGGGGAGGTCGAGCTTCGTAATACCCCAGCCAAGCGCGGCTGCGGTGGTGTCGTTCATGAGACGGAGGAGCTGGAGGCCGGCAATCTCAGCGGCATCCATCAAGCATCTGCGCTGGACGTCGGTGAACCATGCTGGCACACTCATGACAATCTCCTTGACGGGGAGCTTGAGCTCAGCGGCGGCGGTAGCCTTGACTCTGCCCAAGAACATCGAGATAAGCTGGGTAGCGGTGAACTGCTCCTTCTTGCCGAGGTACGTCACCTCCGCTCCGACCTGGCCATTGATGTCGACGAGGGGTGCGGAGATGTGGTTCTGCTCCTTTGCGACATCGGGGTCGGACAGAGCACGACCAGCCAGGCGCTTCAGCGACCCGACTGTGTTTTTTAAGTTGGAGATCTCTTGTGTCTTCGCGGCCTCGCCGAGGTATCTCGCTTTTGGTCCAAAACCGACGAGGGAACTGTGAAGTGAATCTGTTAGCCTCTTTGATACCGTCTTGTCTGTGGGAGTGACTGTAGGGGGAACTTACGGAGTGGCACGGTTAGAAACCTCATTGGTAATCTATAAAGCGATCAGTAAGTGAACAAACACAATATTATGTCAGAGTTGCGCGGAAACATACCACATCCACACCACGGTTTCTTGCGACAGCAATAACCGTGTTCAGGGTGCCAAAATCAACACCGACGACAGACATCTTGATCTGTTTTGTTTATGTTTTGTGAAAGTGAAGGTGAAGGTGAGGGGAGGTGAGGGGGTGAACAAGCCACACACAATATTGGCTCGAGGCTTATCGACAGTAGCGTGTGGGAATTCTAGGTCCGAAGAGATTTTCTTGAAAGGACCTTTGCAAATCCGGAGGCAATTGAACAATTGGAGATCGTCACGTTGTTTCAAGTTGTTTGAAGGAGGCGACGAGTTATTTCGTTTTCGCAGCCCTCTTTAGCTTTGTGTATGGGAATCTCGAACTTTTTGAGCCGCGACAACCTGGGTTTAGCTCGGATGGACGATTCCTGAACCGACTCTCTACTTCTACGCATTTCGACCCACAGTCTTGGCGATCGTTGGGGAAATAATAACCCTACGTCATGAATATCTACACTGTTATTAAATGCTATTTGTGGAAATAAATTCTTTTTCTCACCTACTGGTACGCTATGCTATTTTGTTTCGGACGAATTTTGAAAAATCTCTGCCGTCTCTGCCTTGACTGACACGTCGTCATCCTGTTACAAGTACTCGAGTAGCGTTGTGGTGTGGCGAAGCCATATCCTTCAGGCCGCTATCGATAAGCCCTCGCAATTTTTGGCTTGTGGTGGGGGTGGTAGGACCACTGAGGGACACTGAGGGCAACCCCTCACCACCCGTCCGTCGTTTTCTTGGCTTTTACAGACGTACAGAAAGTACGGAGCGTACTTTGTCTCTCGTTGGTCGTCAACCCGTCCGTATTGGTGGCCAGGTCGGAGAAAATGGTGGTCAGAATAGCAACACATTCGTTACATTGCCAACATTGCCAACGCAAACGTGCAAAACATACGAATGTCGTGACTCAGGACACATCTTCTATCGACATGAAATCAGCTGTAAGTGAAAGTATAAAGTTCGCTACTACTGGGAGCCAACGTGACTATCATCTCTGCCCCAGAGAACATACACTGCACATGTGAGAACAGAGCCGACTTCCAATTCTTATCTTGAACAAAACCAAATTTCCATTTCTATCTTATCTTGTTGAAGAAAACATTCTTGCCATTTCTATATTGTTGGACACAGCCCGCGGAGTTGCATTATATCACCCAGACCTTGTCAAAATATTGCTGGTCAATCCTTCCTTCCTATCCTAAACGGGCGGGTGCTCGAATTTGAGAAGTGCACCCTGGTACACTCCGATTCGCTGCGCTTTCGACGACAGATACCTATTAGTCCAATATTTCCATACGGTATATTACATCCATCCCTATGAATACCCTATAACCTTGCTGTCATGGAGCGATTTTATTGATGGCTCCCCGTAGTAAATTATATACTTACCTCCCCGTGGATATGGCGTTCATTCGAAACTGGATATTCATTATCACCCTGTCCATACCTTGCTGCATAGCGACCTTTTTCCCTGGGTGAGAATAATAGATCCAAGGAGCACCTTTTTGATATTAATATGAGATATCTAGGGATTCGCTACTTGGAACGCTTGGAGCAAGCTTGTTCCCTCCATTTCTGACGAATAACGTGAGATTTATATCCCCTTTTCCTCCCATGCTCGGCAATACTGATAAGGGTGGGCGCAGCCTCTCCCAGACGGATTCCCTTGGAAGTTATGTTCCGCGAACAATACAGACCCAAAAGATGCGCCGAACACCGGTGTTACACGATATTATGACTTCACCATAAAACGAGGAAAAGCGGCCCCTGATGGTTATGAGAAAGAAGTGATACTTATTAACGGAGAATTTCCAGCCCCAACAATAGAGGCCAATTGGGGAGACTGGATTGAAGGTGCTCCCAACCTTTCGTTTTGCGATTTGTTTGCTGACATACAACTTTAGTCAAAGTGAAGAATGAAATAACTGGACCAGAAGAAGGCACGAGCCTTCATTGGCACGGATTATTTCAAAAGGAAACGCCATGGTACGATGGTGTGCCTTCTATTACACAATGCCCTATTGCTCCACGGGCCACATTCACGTAGGTTTGAATACCCAATAAAATAACATCTGTAACTGATAGTGAGTAGGTATAGATTCAGGGCGGACGTCTATGGAACAACCTGGTACCATGCTCACTACAGCGCTCAATATTCTGCCGGCCTCACAGGAGCATTAATCATTTATGGGCCATCGCATATCAAATATGACGAAGATTTGGGGCCAATAATGCTTCAAGATTGTATGGACGATCATTTGCAACAACCATATCTCTTTGAAATACTGACGTTTCCTAGGGTACCACAAGGATTACTACACTGTTGTCGAAGGCGGTACGTCTTAATGTGACGACAAGTTTACTCTGAGTTCTTTTGGCTAACAACTGTAGTTATGAGCAACGATACTGCTCTGCAAGAGCAGTTCTCGGACAATACCATAATCAATGGGAGAATGCCTTATGATTGTAGTTTAGTTACTGACGGAACGCCGTGCTCTCAAAGCACATACTCGAAATTTAGGGTGACGCCCGGAAAGACATACAAATTGCGGCTCATCAACACCGCCGCTGGTGGCTGGCAACATTTCAGCATCGACGGCCATAATTTGACAATAGTTGCAAACGACTTTGTTGCTATTCATCCGTATAGCACCACAATTGTAACTTTGGGGGTGAGTCATTTTCTGGAAGCTGAAACCGTATATATGTGGACACAGGCTTACAATTATCCAGATTGGACAAAGATCAGACGTTTTATTCACTCCGATAGGAAACGCTACTGACGCGGTCTGGATGCGAACAAACCAATACGCAGATTCTTGTGCAAGAGCACTTCAACCGGAAGGAAAAGCAATCATCCTTTATGATAAAGCTCCTGAAGATTCAATCCCGGTAACGGAAGCTACACCCATTGTTGACGATGGGACCTGTAGAAATGTATGGATTTCCTGCAACGAGAGATCCCAGCTAATGCAATGCCTCTCCAGGACCCGTTGAACATGACCGTTCCATACTATCCCTCAGCGCCACCGGAACCCTCAGTAACTTACAACATTACAATAAACCAGGTGGTCAATTCTACCGGTCATAATCTTTTCTACATGAATGGATCGCCATTCCAAGCCAACTACAACAACCCAATCCTTCTACTTGCCAACGAGAAGAATTATTCATATCCTTACGACCCCCAATGGAATGTCATCAACCTTGGGTCAAATTCTTCAGTGCGCATAAATGTGTGGAATAACAATACTGTTCCTCATGTGAGTCTGATGAACCCGGTGAGCTTGAAACATGATAAGTACACGTGCTAACACCAGTTGAGCCAATGCATCTTCATGGCCATGATATGTGGATCTTGAACGACGGCCTTGAACAGTGGGACGGAACTGTCGTCAATCCCCAAAACCCTCAACGCAGAGATACCCAGAATCTAGCCCCGAATGGTCACATTGTCTTCCAATACAATCTTGACAACCCGGGAGTTTGGCTATTCCATTGCCACCTTGCGTGGCACTTGTCTTCGGTGAGTAAATCCCGTCACGGTCGCGTCCCAAACAAATATGGGAAGATGCTGATGCAGTGCTAGGGTTTATCTGTGAGCTTGTTGGAGCGACCCAAGGAGATCAACCAGTTTCAGATTCCATTTATCATGGCGCAGACGTGCGTGGAGTGGGATATATACACAGCTTTCAACACTGTCGACCAAATAGACAGTGGTGTATAGGCTTGTGACTGGGCTGTAAATTGATACCACTGAGACTTCGTGCAGGAATGAAGTATATGCAGCAAATAGTATTACTCAGTTCGGAAGTTGGATGCGGACAGGGTCCCAAGTATTATTGGCTGAAAATTACAGTTGGTACCATATAAGACTAAAACCTTCCTCATGTGTTGACAACGCATCTGTGCTCCAATGTCTTATTTCATAGCCCATGTGCTTCTATGTCTCATGTAACGCACCTGCACTCCATATGTTATTTTGTAATCCATCTGTATTCCTATGTTTCATATTTACAGCACATCTGTGCTTCCACAGCCTTATGGCTGGTTGCCCCTATTTCATTGGGTGGTTTCCACGTGACTGAGTTGCCTATAGACTCCCCCTACAAAGATTATTGCCGATGTGGTACGGGTGCCGCCTAAGCGTATTTATGGTGCCTGTACCTTTATTGTGAGGATCCAAAGCTCCGATAGGTTATTTTAGCACAGTTCCCGCGAAGACACCTGTGCAGCACGAGTGCGACAAAGCAAGATACTTGGGGTTTGAGAGGAAGGTCAATCGGGGACCGAAGACATCTTGGTACATTGAGGCTTATTGAGGCTCTCAATGCAGTAATGACCAGGTAAACTTGGACCAAAGGCAAAGTATGTGCCTCTCCAGCGATCCGTTTCCACGACCAATCCTCAATATATGGGGCATAAGACGAGAGTTTAATACAGAGCACGAAATATTTATGGCACAGTTACACAGTTTGGAGAAAGGCAGCCAGCCTCTCAACATGCTCTCCACATCCCTGGATCTGGAGCATTATAATCAACTGGAACAAAATACACAACGATATCCGAACGTTGTGACTATGTCAAAGAATTCTGTCACAGATCTGGGAGCCCAAGTATCAGACAATATCAATGGCTCCCAAATATTTGACAGTGGTGTTGTTGAAATACAGAGTAGGTCCGACGCAGAAATTGAAGGGAAATACTAAACTTTAAACAGAACCAAAAGAGGCTCGTCCAGCATTAATCCGGACAGGAGTTTTTGTAGACACTGTGACTCCCTCAAACCCAACAGCTGTTGCCGCGTCAGAGACAATAGGAAATGGCCCTTCGGGAACTCCAGGACAGAAGTGCAGTTCAGAAGACTCTGAGGTGACAGGAAGTCCATCGCCACCAGATCTCCCCACCGGGCTCAAACTAGCAGTTTTGGTTTGCTGCGCCTGCATGGCTATCTTCGCACTAGCCCTTGTAGGTACATCATTACCCCTTTGAAAGAATATATCTCAGAAAGTGCTTTAGGACACAACAATCATTGTAACTGCCATCCCTACGATAACCCGCGAGTTCAAATCTCTCAACGACATTGGCTGGTACGGATCAGCGTACTTCCTCACAACATGTGCTTTTCAGCTTCTCTGGGGTCGTTTCTATACCTTCTTCAATTTGAAATGGGCGTACATCGGCGCCATCATCATTTTCGAAACAGGAAACATTGTGTCTGGCTCCGCGTCAACCTCCATAGCGTTGATACTCGGCAGAGCTGTTGCTGGCATTGGGTCTGCAGGTATTTTTACAGGAAGTTACATAATTATCGGATTCAGTGTCCCGCCTAGGCATCGCCCTCGGTATATGGGGCTCCTCGGGAGTATGTACGGTATTGCCTCTGTTTGCGGGCCACTTATAGGAGGAGCTCTGACGGACCATGTCAGTTGGAGGTTTTGTTTTTATATAAATATTCCTCTGGGAACAGTTATCGGAGCCGGGATCTTTTTTTTCTTCCATCCAACAAATGCAAATGCAGCCCTCCAAGCCCTGCCGACTCCTGTCAGGCTCGCAAAGTTAGATGGAGTTGGAACTTCCATCTTTGTTGCCTCGATAGTGTGCCTGATAACGGCCCTGCAATGGGGTGGCACTGTTTATCCCTGGGGATCTCCTAGGATCATTGCGCTTCTCATTCTATTTGGGCTGACTCTCACAGCCTGGGTGTCCTACCAATACTACAAAAACGATAATGCTACCGTACCAAGGCGGCTTATCTCCCAGCGCTCCATTGCCTTTGGATCGCTTACTTCCTTCTTGATGGGCGGCTCCATGTTCAGTGTTTTTTTCTATGTTTCCGTCTACTTCCAAGCCGTCCGTGGAACGTCCGCCACGACCTCGGGATTATATTCACTCCCGACCATCCTCGGATTAACGTTTGGAATGCTTATAGCGGGCCAGCTCAGTAACAACGTCAACCGTTTTCCCCCATTCATGCTTTTCTCAGCCGTCACCGCCTCTATAGGCGCCGGCCTAATCACAACGCTGACACCAAACACCCCACTAAGCCACTGGTGCGGTTACCTCGCATTATTTGGTATTGGCCAAGGCGTCGGATGGCAGCAGCCCCTTTTACTGGCCCAAGTTTTCCTTCAAGATGCCGACGTACCAACCGGGACGGCGCTAATGTCAGGGAGCAAAGTGCTCGGTGGTGCGATCCTCATCCCGGTCTCGGCTTGCGTCTTCCACGCATATTTGGAACGGAGTCTACTGGAGTTACTTCCGGATATCAATCCGAGTATAATTATTAGGGCTGGGGCAGCGAAACTCAGGGATGTGGTGGTTGAAATTGCGAGGGGTGATTCCGCGAGGGTAACTGAATTGCTGGGACTGGTGGAAGAGTCTTACAACAGGGCTTGTAGGAGGGTATTTATTGGGGCTTTGGTGGTTAGTAGCTTGGCTGTGATTGCCTCTGCGGGAGTAGAATGGAAAGAATTAAGTCTTAAAGAAAAGAAAGATGTCGAAAAGGGGCAGGGTGTTAGGTTGCCGAAGCTGTGGAGGGGGACAACAAAATCACGGGATGGCTAAAGTATGTTCTAATCAAATGAACGAATCATAATGCGTTTCTGTGGGAGTTTATATTAGCTATTAATAAAATAATTACCCTCGATCACCTATAATATGGTTGGCAATGGAAAAAATAACATTTCATTTGGCTTGCAGTGTAACCTATATCACGTGATATCCATATTTTACCCCTTTATCTCGTTTCGCCCAAATTCTGCCAGGGGTTCGTCATCCAGTCAGACTCGGCCGCCACTCTCCATCTCATCTTCCCCATCGTATCAGACATCATCTGCATATCACCAGGTTTGTTTTGAGATAGACATTACTTCCAGATCCTCATGCATTATTTATCCCTACATAGCCTAGAAAGACCATTCTCTTCGCTCCGCGGATTTCAAAATGGACCAAAAGGGCAGCTGATCGAAGACGCCGCGCGTCCCTCCTTCCCGGCAAGGTATGTCGCGTTGCATCGCATCGCAAACAATGGGACTACAGGTAGCTGGCATCGGATACGCACGCAGGGAAAAAAATATTCCCACAGAACGTTGTACTGAAGCGGCACGGTGAGCACAATCGGCTGTTCACATAGCTCCGCGAGGCGATCCACAGATGTTCTCATCCTTGAGCGGCGTTACGGTGTGACAAGATCTGCACCTGGACGAGCGTTGATGTGGGACAAGGATCTGAACATGGGAGTGAGTTGACGTGGGACAAAGATGCTGCAGTCAAGTCTCGAGTCGGAGCATTCCTTCTTGTTTTGGCAGGCCTTGCTGATATTTCCCGATATATTGACTCTAATACGACGAATGTAAGATGAGTGTTGACAAATAGATGTAGGATACCGAGGTAAGGCATGTGGTAATCCGCATTCCAATTATCACTTTCAATAGGTGGGCGCGTGACAGTTTGAGGCTGGACGGTAAGGTAGAAGATCTTGGAACCAAGAATCCCAAGCTGACTTCGGTTTGGTTTGTAGGATCACGTTGGGATCTGATCGGAGACCACAGTCAACTCGTAGCCTTCATGGTGGGTTGATGTATTGTGGAGGAAATTTTCAAATTGTAGAGATTAGATAATCGTTGTAAAGAGCCTGTCTAATCCACCCGTAAAAACAGCATAATAATATACGGAGCTCTCAAATCAATCAACTGCCCTAAATCTTGTCAAATGCATGCCCTCCAGCTGCCCTGTCGATTGCTATACTCCCTCAAAGCCCGCAGACTTCGAATATCGTCATTGGAGATACAGAGCTCCCTGTCAACCCGATACCCTTAAGTCTCTCTAACGTACTTTTGATTGCTTCATATGCGGGTGCTAAACAGGCAAATGAAAATATGATAATCCTGTAGCCCATCTGTTCAGCTTCCGCTGCCGAGATTAATGGAGAGACGCCGTTCTCGACACTATTGTAGCACATCAGCCACGGCGCCAGCTCTCTGACAGCCTGTGCGGCCTGCTCTTTGCTTTGCACGCCCTCCAGAATCCCCATATCGGCGCCCAAGTCTCTGGCTCGGTGCACACGTTCCATTGCTGCTACATATCCACGACTCTGGAGTACATCTGTGCGTGCGATGATGACGATGTCAGAACGAAGTTGCTTCCGCTTGTACACACAGGCCTTGATACGGCTGGCATATTCCTCAATATTCACCACTTCCTTGCCAGCTAAATGCCCACATCTTTTCTGTGCCACTTGGTCTTCAATATGGAATCCTGCAACCCCAGCAAGGTGGTATTGTTGCAGAGATTTTGCAACCATAAGAGGTCCGCCATAGCCGGTGTCCATGTCAGCAATTACGGGAGCTCCGATTGGGGCTAGATTCGCTATCATCTCGGCATTTGTTCTCATATCGTGAAGTTGGGCGAGACCAAGGTCAGCAGCTCCTAACCGACTAGCGGTGGTCCCCTCACCAGTCATGTAAAGGCCTTCGAAACCAAGTGACAGAGCGATACGTGCTGACAGCCCCGTCGTAAACTCCGGGACAGACTATAATCTTGGAATTGTTTGCAAAGAGCTTGCGGAGACGGGTTGATCCAGGCAATATAGCCGCGGGTAGTATGTTATTCCCAGCTTCGGCCACAACCATTGTAGGGGAAGTACTTGATAGTTCGCCATTGGAGCAGTTATCGACCGTGAATGCTTTAACGTCAGCCTCCAGAACAAGATCATGGTGGATTTCATCATCCGATGGGGTCAAAAATTCTTCGGATTCAATTTCAGCTTGTTTCTCGATATTCGTATGAGTGGTAATATCTGCAACATGGACGGCAAAGACTTGATCTTGAATATGAACCTTTGTAGTTCGTATTCTGTCCGTACTGAAGCCAAGCGGCTGCCAAGTCTCAATTTCGTAGTTGCCATATCCATATCGTTCGAGGTTACTTCTTGAAGCGATCATATCGCGGGAACACTTGATAAAAAAACGAGGGAGTACAGGTGGTTGCTCACGACTTTTTCGAAAGGAGAGAGCTCTACCAAATATTTTAAATCACACCGTTAGGAGCAGCTTAGCACGTGGTATTGAATTATAAATTGAGATCAAAAACAGATTTTGAGACATCCTTATGAATCATTCATCATAAGGTACCTGAGAAGCATGAACATCTCTACTGATCTGGGGAAGCTTGCGTGGCTTGCCGAGCTTATTCATTTGTATCACGTTCGGCTCGCGACTGGGCGACTTTTCTGGTAGTAAAGTAGGTCAGGCTGGGTGCTGGGGTTAGCTTTCTCATCGGATGACGGTTTGAGCGCCGGGTAGGTAGACTGTCGGCACAGCGCAATGAGATCTTAATCACGATCTGATCTTAGATGGCGACCGACTCCTGCATTCCGCTTCAGACATATCATTTTTTGAGAGATGTACGAGGTTAGTGACGGCAAGGAAAGGGTTTCGACATGTAAACTAATTAAACATATAGCTATCTGGATTGCTACATATAATGCGAGCACGGCCTTTTGTAGAACAAGGGACAATTAAGCAAGGGGCAATAGAGTATGGCACAACAGGGCAAAATCAATCCAAAGGGGATATGGTTTAGTGGTATAATGCTTCTTTAGCACTTGAGTTTCGTACTCTGGTAATATAGAAGATGTCCGGCGTTCGATTCGCCGTTTCTCCAACTTCTTAATATATATTTTTTTTACCAAAGGAAAACAAAAACAACTACAATGCTTCACAACAGGGCAAAAAAAAATAGAGTATGTGTTTGGGGGTTCTTTCCATCACCAATCCACGTCTATCCTAATTGCAAGGATGCATGCTATGTATTCAAATCTCAATTTTCCACTTTCGCGGACATTGCTTGGAGAACCCTTCTTCCTTTCCTTTCTCTTGTGGCTGGTTTTAGTCTTATGGCGTTAGAGCTTCCATTTTATTTGTTCCGCCGATATGTTTTTCTCACACCTTCGGAAGCTATTTAACGGGACACCGAGCAACACCGGCATGGCAAGAAAAATCAACTTCTTGTGAAAGCTAACGATGTGTAATTTTCTGGAAAAACACTTTGTGATGTCGGCCCTATCTAGGCTGTGAATTTACCGAAGCGCTATTCTGAGCTGAAACTTCCTCCCATATGAGACTGTGCTAGTACACCCACCCATTTCTTTCTTTAGAATGCCTACAATCCCTGTAAACATTGGAAGCGACGAAAAAAAGTTGCGGGTTTCGTTCCGTTCGGTGCCTCAACCACGCAATGTGGAAACCATATCAATGACTGCTTGCTTCAACTTTGTTTGAAGGAAAATATCCAGTGCTGAATAAATTCCTGCGTTGCGGGCTTCATCTTCTTTGCTTGCACAATATCTTTCTGCATATTTCTCAACTAAAGCCCTTACTTTGCGGAGCTCGTTAACCACAAGCTGTATTCTCATCCTCTGGTCGTCTTCAGCGTCTATCTTGTATGCGCCCACTGTAATCGGCGTAGCACGGAGATTATCTGGCCATAATGTATTGCCAGGTTCGGCACGAACGTTGGATGTAGCTCGAATAATTGCCTCATAGCAGACTAGGATATTGTGAATGATCAATGCAATCGTTAGAGCATACTGAGGACTGAGGGAGCAAGGACATCCAAGTAGAGAACGGACGTTTTCAATTGCTGACCTGTTGTTGATGAGAACTTGATCTATCGAAGAAATGGGATGAAACGGATTTTCATGAGGTGTGGCTGACGCGCCACAAGTGCTCGAGTCCAGGCGCAGCAATTGAATCGTTGACGACGCTAGAGTTGTACAGTCGTGAGTTTGGAATAGGGGCTGATGGTTTGTTTTCAATGTTTGACCTGTTGACTCATCAAGGGAAGTGAAAGTGTCATTGGACTTTGATGGTCCGAGGTCCATGCAGATATCGTCAAACATAAACATGTCGTTCGTTAAAGTTCTTGGAGCTAATAGATCTGACTTCGCCTCGTCTAAAAAATCGAGGTCATGATCAAACAAGCTCATTGGTGCTATGGATGCATCGTTGCTGCTATTCGTGCTTGAACCCGGTGAATAAAACGACGCAACCTGCCACTGTGTTGGAACAAGATCATCCGAGTCCATAAAATAGGCCTCCAAGTTCACTGGCGCAAGGCTGCTCTGGGGATGAATAGAATCAGATTCCAACTTTTGAAGACTGAGCAGTGAAGTTTTGATCTCTTTTTCAGCTGACATGGTCTTTGATTTTGTTGATTTCATGCCATTCCCATTCCTTGATGCTGGGGGCTTTCCCATCCTGCGCGATGCGCTGTAATTGCATTTAACCTCTATGCTTCTGCAACGGAGGCATGAGGGTCTTTCTTGGTTGCATTTAATTTTTGATGCGGAGCAAGCATCACAGGATGATCTCAGCTTTTTTTGAGTTGGGGCCCGAGGAGCAGTTTTGGGCGTCAAAAAACTCTGAGATCCATCAGTTGACATTGTTCAGGACAGAGAAGTGATGAGGGCAGAAGGATTCCTTGGCAAACTCAGGCAGAAATGAAAGGATCCGAAGTAAGGAAATCTAATTGTACCGGAAATACAGTCCTTCATATTGATATTTACTGCAATAACCGTAGGTGGCAAGGTGGTCATCAACAACTTAATGGAAGTAACCCCTTATGGAATAGCATTGGCACTTTGATCGTTCGGCCGAATTATAGCACGTCACATAACCTTTCTCAAACTCAGGTCTCAGGTCAGCAATAGACATAATCGACGAGTAAAATGTCTCCTATTGGCTCTTCATTGGTTCACAAACCCATCAAGATTCAAAATTCCAATACTTTGGTCAGACGCTCCAAAATACTAAGACTATAGACCTTAGAGTAAGGGACCCGAGTAAACATTAGTACATTGATATGAATACGGTGCAAGTGTGCTGGTTATAGCACTCCACCACTACATCTTATATTTTAGAATCAGCAAGGGAAGAAGCTATCTTTATATGCTCCATGCCCTTTGCATCTACGAAATTGACCAAATAGAATATTGCATACCATTTTTGCTTTGGAAAGAGCCAACAGCAGTGATAAGTGGAATTACATATCATTTCTACTCCTTATATCCTGGATACTTAGGGGGCAGCACACTGAATTTAGGGACAACCTTATACAATGCACTTGAGCTGATAAGTCCCACACCAAGTCACTGTCAAAGATGCCTACCATTGTGATACGTAGTAGTGTCACCCAATTGCTCCCCGCTGCAGTTTTGCCCGACTTTGCCAAGTTATTGAGACTACAGTATGATGTGGCGGTCAAAATGAGAGTAACACTTGCAAAGCTATACTAGATTTGATCGCCTCAGCCTTCCGCTGGTACACAGGCGGGCAAATACCCCTCGTTATAGCAAGACTACTGAAATGAAAAATACGTGTCCGTATGTACTCGATCCTTTTTAAAAAAGTATCTATGATACCTTTCAAAGGAGGGCCACGACCATATCTAATCAGGGAAAGGTTGTGAACATCAAATAACTGCGGGCGTAGGCTGAGATATAATTCCTTCGCCCACGCGACTCTAGCCGCTTCTCACGACCGTCACAATTCTTTCTTGGGACGACAGGTAACCTAGTACGTAGTGTTGCTCAAATATGGGTTTCGTAATGATACAAACCGTATGTCGCCAAATTGGGTTTCGCAGCCCTTGGCTTGTGGTATCGTGTGCCATCTGAACCTTCAATGCCATCCAACCCGTGAATTCTGTATGACTTTCCCCACTCAAATACTAACCAGCGTATAAAATGGAGACTTCTAAGACATGGTACTAATTATATTTTTGATTTGACGCTATTTCATCCGACGATGTCGGCTGTTATCAGTACGCCATCTACGAGCATCTCGTCGTTCTGAGTACACGATTTGTAAGAGCCATATTTTATAACATATAACTACCACGCTATGCTGAGATATATTCTTAAAGTCCCATTTATCATTTTGCCGTAAATTAAATCACACTGGCGAAGAACCTCCTCTTCTCAGCACATTGAAAGGACTTCTGGGATGAATTATGCAAGCCAGTAGACCGTGGACTCGAAGAAGATAAATTATTATCTCATCATGTCGAGGTAAATAGTAAGTCACAATTGTCTGTGCCAATCCCCAATATAATCTGACACTTGCAGTGAAAGTTACGAACCGTAAGTTACGGAATCAAGTTTCTCTCAACCTACCAAAGAGAACCAACAAGGACTGCCGAAACGTTAGATGAAGCTACGGGTACATCTTAAAAAAGGCCCTTGGAAGAAAGAAGAGGATCAACAGTTGCAAAACGCCGTGGACAAAGTTGACTGCAAGTAATTTAGGTTGTACAGATATCCTTCAACTCCACCATGTGTTTTATGGTTTTTCCATATAATGTTATGCGTAGTAAACTTTTAGCAAGCTGGGGGCGCGTGGCTGGCACCTTGAAGACAAGGCTTGCAGAATGCGAGTATATGATAGAAGTCATCGTGTTTTATTGCTGAGTATCTTATTCACGGAGAGGTGGCAGTGCCATCTTGATCATAAATCACAATTACAATATTTTAAAATTAAACCGCTACCAGTCACAGTATCAGTTTTCATATCGGAGGAAACGGAAGGATTCGGGCATCACAAGTGATACCTAGTGCTTTATTGCCATGACAAATATCCTGCATTTAGGTCTCGAGTACCAGAATTGTGGTTTGCAACATTCAAAGTAATCACTTGTTGCAAATAGGGAAAATATGTGACGCTGGCAAACAGACACAGCACCGTTCAATCCGGCCGCCACCCCAGAATAATCATGTTGTGGTGATTCTAGTCCATTTATTGGCTTACGACCCTGATCAGTTAGTTTCCATCAGGAAGTTCAGTTTGGCCGACTTGAAACGTTTCGCATTGTGCCGATATAACTTCTAGCAATCTCGCTCCTAGTGTTGATCGGCTTTTGTGCTATTGAACATGAAGTCTACTCCCAATTTTGCTCAATATTCCAATGTCTTCCAAAACAGGACATTTTATGGCCCCTTCATAATTCGGCTGAGAATTTTAAATACTGTCCGAGGTATGGACTCTTCCTCCAAAGTTCTTATCATCGGCGCTGGCATAGGCGGGTTGACCTAAGGAAATTTGGCATCCCTTTTCATATCTTTGAACAAGACCCTACTCCCGACTTCCGGCCCCAAGGATACAGGTTGAAGCTCAATAGTGACGGCTGGAATCCCTTAAATTATGTACTTAGTGGCAGTCTCTGGGCCCAGTTCCAGGACACGTGTGCTGTTTGCGAAGAAGGTGAAACAGATTCCAACGCCATTGCGGCAACAATCATAGCAGGCAGAGCTGGTCCAAGAAGGACTCGGGGAGGGGTGGCTATTAAGACCCAGACCTGCGACAGAACTGTCCTGCGTAACATTTTGCTGTCTGGATTGGGTGATCAGATATCCTTTGGAAAATCATTGTTGGAATATGCTATCACCGACGACGGCAAAATTGTGGCAAAATTCACAGACGGCTCAAGTGAAAACGGAACCCTTCTTATAGGATCAGACGGGGCCTCTTCTCAAGTCTGGAAACAGTATCTCCCTAATCATATACCGCTCGACACGAACGGAAGCTGCATCTACGGAAAAACACCATTGACGTCAGAGTTGTTAGAGAGGCTTTTGTAACGGGTGCCGCCGTTACAGTACATGTGGTATATAAAGCGTGTTACGCGTATTCCGGGCGAGCCGGAATACTATAGTCTTTTTGGCTCAGTGGGATGTAGCGCGAGCGTAACCGTACATCATTACAGCTTTCAAGGAGAGCAACAAAATGGATGACTTTAGTCATCGACTCCCATGACACACACTCTAGACGTCGGTGAGACCCCTTTGACCTTGTTTCTCGAGCCCATTCAATTTCCCGATAATGCTCATCGAAAAGATCTGCCTGTCGATTACATCTACTGGGCCCTTATATCAAGAACCGATGTACTTGAAACTCACACCAAAGAGCCACTGTACCTAAATGGAGAAGAGTGTGCAAAGTTATCCCTCAAGCTGACGCAAGAATGGGACCCGTCATTCCGAGCACTATTCTACCTCCAAGACAGGACACAGACCTCAATTATAAGGGTCAGCTCTGCATTTCCAAAGATCTCGGCTTGGGATCCTTCTGGGAATGTCACATTGATTGGAGATGCATCGCCAACTGGAGGCGTCGGCGCGGTGACAGCTCTACGTGATGCCGCCTTGATATCAAATACCATTTCAAAGTTTGGCATTTCGGCGAGTAGTATAGGGGGGTATGAAGCAACTATCAGAGGCTATGCACAGGCTAGCATTGAGCGAAGTTATTCTAGGGGGTAAAATATGTTCAGCCATGAACCTTGGGAGAAATTGAAACCCCTTGAGATACGAGGAGCTACATTTCGAGCTTCTGAGAGTGCTGCCTATTTGGTTCCATATTTGCGATGGCGATTTCTTTGAAGACTTTATCCAGTCAATATTTTCATGGGCCGCGAATAGTAGCTACCAAACAGCATTGGATTTTATTCACAAGCACAAAATGTGTTCTCTTTGGCGTTAAAAGGGGTCGGCCGGGGCTGGGGCGGTTGTATCTGTCAACGCGCAGAAATCCAAGAGTTAAAATGCAAAAACACCAGACGACGTGTCTGGTGAAAAATCCACCCCATGGTGCCTCGAACCCGCGAATCCGAGAAGATGGCTATTTGCTAAGCCATCTGCCCTGTTTGATATCTTACTGCCTTGTCTCCATTATATAGGGGGTTCGGTAGTTGGGGGGGTGTTAGCGTGGAACGGGGTTGAAGGGCTGGCTCCAAGCTGGAACCCTTTTGGGGCCAACATGGCTACCTGCTGAATTCGGAACCCAAAGCTGAAGCAGTATCTAGAAACAAGTGCACACACAGTGTCATGTTTATGAAGTTGTGCATGGACTTGCACTGAATGTTGTTTCCAGAGGGCCTCTTAATTATTCAGGACCCAAGCCCTCAACTTCATATTTTCAAAGAAGCTTCTGGCCCTTTTCTCAGACTGCTAATGTTGCCGTAGCGCTGTAGTAATAGTGCAACACTCGTTAATGAATCAACTTGTTAGAGAATCTAACAGATTATGGTCGCATTGTCACAGCTGTTTTCGGGAATATCGAAGACTTTCTTGGACTGAATCCGGACTCTTACTACATCGCCGGGATCATGCCTGACTATGAGGTTTGGACGTTGCAAGGCACCACTCTAAAGCCACCGTCTCGCAGACTTTGTCAACCAACGATTTTATTATTCCTCCATAAATCATCATATAACAAAAACTCTATGCAACTCCATAAATCATCATATAACAAAAACTCTATGCAACTCCATAAATGCCCAATAAGTCGAGTTCGCAATTCGTAAATCCAGATTCGCGTTCCCCATGCATCATATCACTTCCGAATATGTTTTTCCTCTTCGCTTTCTACATCGATGCCACGCTGTGCAACAGAACGAAAGGCTTTTGAGATGGAACAAATTATCATTCTGTCGACTACGGAATGTCAAATAGAGGCTTAAGCTTTTTGATCAGCATCCATTCGTCATTCGTCACATCGGTTCGGTAGAATTCCTTCAGTGTATCGATCGACTTCCTTGAAATGAGAGAGTACAAGGTATCTTTCTCCTCAAGATGGCGGCCATACGTTGGCTGATGGGATCCCATTTCAATTTTGATCGCCACCGATGGCTCTCCCTTCTTACACCTTGGCAGGTGCTTGTGATCACGCTCGATACCCGTACTATTATTAAATTAGTCTTATACCCCAAACATTGTGGAAATCAACTTACACTCTGCCAACACTGATGATCTCCTTAGCACCAGTGATAGCGTTTGTCTTGACAGCTGCAATGGGAGTATCAAGTTTGAGCTGGCCTTCAACAACGTCAACGCCGACGATAATCGGGCCAGTTTTGTTGAAGACAGCAACCGTCGAAAGTACGCAAGGGAAGACGGCCATGAGCCTTGATTCCTCCTTCCTCTTCTCGATAATTGCCTCCATGTGTTTTGTGAACTGGTCGAAAAGATGGTAGATGATGTCGGCTGTGAAAATCTTAATTCCCTGCTCCTCTGCATAAAGCTGAGCTTCTTTGTCAATCTTGACATCGAAGCAAAGCATAACAGCATGTTCTTTCGACTTCTCCAACATGGTACCGCACTGCATGACATCGCGCTTGAATACTGGGCCAATACCCACATTGGCGACTGGGATCTTGGATACGCGGAGGAAATCAAGAAGGGCCTCGAGGGAACCGAGAGTGGAAGCCTGGACGCTAACACCGCGGCCTGTCTTCTCGATTCGCTTCATGAGGTTGCTAACGTCGGACCATACCTCTTCTTCGAGGTCGGATTCATCATCATCAGGTCCCACAACCATCAACCTGGAGCCTGCAATTGCACCTTCGAGATCCGGAGCGCTGATCTTTACACCAAGTGCTGCCTTCACCTCCTTATTGTGAACATACGCCGATTTCAATCGAAGCTCTTTCATAGGAGCAGGTGTCAATAGCGCACGGATATTGGTCTTAATAACACCGTTGATGCCGCAGATTAAAATCCTGTCTCCTTCACGGAGGATGCCGTTGGAAAGGATAACATCGATCGTCATACCAAAGCCCTCAATAGCCTTGACTTCAAGAACAGTGCACTGAACCTCGGAGAGGTACATCAAGCTGCCAACCATTCTTTCTTGGGTGAGCTGGAGAATGAGCTTGAGCATATCGGGGATACCTTCTCCAGTATGCGCCGAAGTTGGAATGAGGGAAACGTATTTTGCCATCGACTTGTTTTCGTAGAAGAGCTCAGAGTTAAACCCTTGCTCGGCGAATGCTGTCTTGGTATCTGCCAGCCTCTTCTGGAATTCGTTCTGAACGCCTTTGTTCTGGAGTTCGTACGATTCCCGGAAGCCGTTGTTTTCAACCTTCTTCCACCCGTAGAGACGATCGATTTTATTGAGCGCAACAATAAATGGCGTCTTTCTGTCTCGGAGTAGTTTCATAGACTCCAGTGTTTGAGGCTCCAGGCCGTGCATAATATCGACCACTAGAATGGCAATATTGCAAAGCGAAGATCCACGGGAGCGGAGGTTAGAGAAAGACTCGTGACCAGGAGTGTCAATAACCAAGAGGCCAGGAACTTTGAATTCAAAGGCACCATCCCTGTTGACAACCATTGTCTTCTTCTTGATAGCATCAACTGGGAAGTAGGTTGCTCCAATCTGTTGTGTGATACCTCCAGCCTCACCTTCCTGGACATTGGTTTGTCTGATCTTGTCCAATAACTTGGTCTTTCCTGTATCGACGTGACCAAGAATACAGCAAATTGGAGATCGCAGGTTGTCCTTAGACCGAGCTGCCAATGCCTCCTGGTGTAGTTTCTCTCTTCGCTCGGTGGCCTCCTTTTTCCTAAGAGCAATGGCGGCCTCCGCTGCAGTGGCTTCTTCGTCCTCTGAAGATTCCTCCTCAGATGATTCTTCTTCAGATTCTTCCTCGGACTCCTCAGCCGGAGTGGTTCCCTTGGGCCTCGATGGTAGGGATTTGGCATCTTGTGAATCTGTACACATTAGTAATCGTGTTTTATTTACATCTGACAGCCAGGCTTCACTCTCTGCTGATTTTGGGAACGTACCGCCAGCTGCTTTCTCGGTTGAGGGTGCTTCTTCCTCTTCCGAGTCTGCGTCCCAACTATCTTTAACGTCATCTTCTTCAGCAGCAGCTACTTCCCAGTCATCTTCAACTTCACTGGCTTCTGCGTCTTTGGCGGCGAGTGCAGCCGCTGCCTCTTTCTCGGCCTCCTCTGCCGCTTTGGCTGCCATACGCTCAGCCTCTGCCTTAGCTCTGACTGCTGCTTCAGCCATGAGGCGTTCTTCCTCAGCCTGGATTTCTGCTGGATTCTTTCTGCCTCCCTTTTTCTTCTTGTTGTCATAGACGACCTTCTTCTTCTCTTCTCCGGCCTCCAGTCCTCCAACTTTAACGCCGGCAGCAATCATTTGTTGCAACTTTTTCTCATTTCTAGCCCTCTCTTCTTTCTGGGCTTTAGTCAAAAACTTGCCCTCTTTCTTGAGAAGGTCGATCTTCTCCTTTTCTCTCTGCTTTTTGATAAGCTTGGCTTCTTCGCGGGCCTTTTCTTCTTCAGCTTCGCGTCTTTCTTCCTCCTCGATGCGTTGTCTCTCCTCTGCCACAGCCCGCGCCTTCTCCTCCTCGCGACGTCTTAGCTCCTCTTGTTGCTTTTGTAACCTGGCCAATGCCGGGGTCAGCTTCTTGCCTTTGGTGGCAACGGGCTCGGGCATCTCGGTCTTTGTTTCGGCAACGGGCTTTACTTCTTCGGCAACCTTTGCAGCTGGTGCGGCGGTCTTCTTTTTCGCGGCCTGGAGTTTCACTTGTATTAGTAGTAATCCTATCAGTTTTACCGGTCGTTCTCACCTGCTCCTTCTTTCTTTGCTTCTCGCGTTCCTTCTTTGCCTTTTCCTTTTCCTTCTTTGTCATTACTCGCCCATCCGCACCGCGTTCCTCGTCTCCCTCGTCCTCTGCCGGCGCACTTTTTTCGGCCCCCTTTGTCTTCGCCTTTGTATTTGGTAACGAAAATTCGTCATCCATAGTTGCCTCATCAGCTGCCTTGATTGAGGGGTCAAAGGTAGACCCCTCATCAGCGGGAGTTTCTCCGCCGTTCGCGTCGCCAAGGTCATCTGCCGGCTTTCCTTTCGCCTTCTTCTTGTTTCGGTTCTTCTTCATTGCAGCCATAAGGCCGCCAGCTGGGAATTCGTCTTCGCCCGCCTCTGTGCCCGCGTTCGGGGCGGCATCTTCAACATGCGGGGCAGTTTCGCCCAGATCCGCCTCCCAGTCGTCGCCACCCATCTTGTTGGTCTTCTTTTTGGGAGGCATATTGGCCGCTCTATCGGGTTTAAATTTACGTCCACGGAGACGATAGAAGAGGGCTTGGCTAATCAAGTTTGCTTCGCAAAATGAATTAATGAGTCCGAAGAGATTCAGTAACAAAGTGGTTGTGTTTGGTGGGGCAAGGCTTGGCAGTGCACAAAAATTGTCCAGGGTGGCATGGCAAGATAAGCGAATCGACAAAAGAAAGACTCCACAGCCCCCGCCCGGACTTTCCATTTTCCAATCAGGTTGGTGACCGCGCCGGCATCGCACTGGCGCAGAATACTAGATAACTTCATCTTCGGCCAAGCTATTTTATTATTAATTATTCAATATAATTTACGTCTACGATTAACCCTCTTTGTACTATAAGGTTATGTAGTATACTGTGACTAACTTTTAATAACTTTCAATTTGAAAATATCAGAATTAATGAATGCACTTTGAATCGACTTTCTCACGCTTGGCGATGGCAGATATTCATTCATTAAATCACTCTACTACATCCAGCGGTCCAAGGAGTTGCTCAAGAAGCTGATAAACCATCTCCACACTCGTTATCAGCCGCTCATCGTCTTGCAACTCAAAGTTTTTATCCGGCCAGTGGAGCGCCACCGCACTCACAAGAGCTTCAGCTGAAGTTTTGGTGGACTCTTGCTTTGTAGACGTAGTTTTAGTGAGGAACTCCCCTAAATGACGGAATGTAAGCCATCCCTTCAAAATATCGCCATCGATGTGCCTTTCCCTCGTATCTTCTTGATCAGGTGGAAGCACAACTCCACCTTCTTCGTCTTCTTGGAAATATGCGGGACAGATTTTTGGATCTTGGCGAGCAATATGCTCGATAATCCCCAGAAGTTTCAGGAGCGATTCATCCACCAAAGTGAATCTTCTAACTGAGCCGTCAATGCTGATACCGAGGAGGCCTTCCCGGTGCTCTCCCCATGGAATGACCCCTGAAACAGCCGTCTCGTTCTGGCTTGTATCCCAGTTATGACGCGTGGATGCAAGCCGGAATTTTGTTATGCACGAGGGCATCTCCGCGTCGAAGAGAGTCGTGTATTCTCGTGGAATTGTTTGGCCGGTGGACGTGTTTCGTTGGTAATGAAGGCCCACCACCGAGCAGTCTTTATCGGAAGCCAGTAATACCGCTGAATCAGTCCCAGGCTGCGTATCGCCTTCGAGGGGGAAGAACATATGATCTAATCCTGCACGGGAGTCTTCGTCCACATATTGGAGTTGGAATTTCCCGTTATCTTTGTACAGTAAGGTCATAGTGGAATCTTTTGCTGTCAGCACACTCAAGTATTGGCTGTCCCAGGTCATGGAGACGGCATGAGATGGCAGCTGATACTGGGCCAGAGAGACTAATGTCTCTTCGTTGACGTTTATTGCCATTGAGTGCAAGGACTCCCCAGTGCAGCAAAAAAGAATTTCGCCATTAGCCCCGCCTTGAAGAAGTGCGTGTATCGGGTGGTCAAATCGCTGTTCTATGAATATGCGAAATCCCGTTGCTTTGGACTTCTTCGATTCCGATTTCTTCAAATGATGGTCTTGGCGAAGTATGAATATGCCCCCTGAGCTGGTGCCAGATACTATAAATTCTTCCTTGACGGATAAATCGCTTGGAATGTTCAGCCACCATTGTGTTAAAGATAGAACCCGATCAGTATGGCGAGGGGACTGCACATGCTTCAGGGATATGATATCCGTTGCCGCTGCCTCTTTCCCAAGGAACACAATCGCTGGTCGGCCATCCATAGTAGCACCGACAACAAGAGATTCTGTAGTTTGGCAATACAATATCCGTTGGGCAGACCCTGGCAGCTCAATGCTATTTGAAATACCGGTAATTTCGTTGCCTATTTCAATCCCTAATATCTGTTTTCCCGAAATTGCTAGGAATCCTTTGTCAAGTTGGCACACAAAGTCAATCGATGGTTGATGATATATTGACTGTCACCCAGTTAGCATATGTCCACTTTATAAGGGGTGGTTAGTTTTTATACAATTCCCACATCTTTGAATAATATCCTAGTAATTGACGGAAATGAGTTTGAATATCCATTATAAACGATTCGATATAGCTCGGATCCGCAGCAAAGTAGAGCAGCTGCTGAAAATGCTGGATCTTTGCAAATATTCAGATTTGTTGTTCCCAATTGTCGAGATGTGGCCATCCGTTGTTGGAATTTCCCATCGGAAGATCTAACGTAGTATGCCATTAACAGAACTCCATTCCCATGGCCAGCAAGCAGCAGCCCATATTGATCCGTTGGTGACATTGAATCAAGACTATTTTCTAACCGAGAGAGCATAAGAATGCTTACACATGAATCTATTGGGGCAGGGCTTGTTTCTGACGAAGAATGTTAATACCTTTCAAAATATCTGCAATGACAGAGGTAAGTAAAACTTACCATGTAAGTTAGAAAGAATAAATTCAGATCGTCCATCCTGTATAATACCGAGGGAGGTATCAAACTGGTAAACACCTAAAGTGCCTACGTCGTTCGGGGCGTTCGAATAGTGTGACAAGTCGTGGTCTCCATGGGCATTGATCGGACCACGCCCTATGGCTACAAATTCCGCCTTCTCTGCAAATGACAGAAATGTAATATAAGAGCCAACGGAAAGGGATGATCCTATCTTAATCAAAGGTGGGTTATCGGATAAATTGGTCTGTGTCCCAAATGGCTCGAATGTTGCAACCCTAAACGCATCGATGCGAAATCCACCGTTTTCTGTCTGAAAAGCAATACAGACTAGTTCGTTCTGATAAATGGAAGCCGCTATAACAAGTTCATCAGGCTTGAATGCTTTTGAGTAGGCTGTGGTTGAGGAGCTGCCAGATGTCAATCTCAAGGTCTTGAAACTTCAAATATAAGAATTTACTAGCCAAAAAACTTACTTGGCCGGCTTGTTGGATATTCGGATATAACGTTCTGTAATCTGAGTAACGAAGCCCCTTGCCGAAGAAGCATCAAATGTACGCGAACGTAGGTCAAGCCAGGTTGAATCAACCTCGGCCACTCCTGTTATTCCGCTGCCATGGTTCTCTAGCATAAGCAACATCGATTCATTGCCAGCTGACAACAAGAGCAGCAAGGAGCTAGAAAGAAACTGGTCTTTTTGCGAAGATGCTGCTGGGAGCCAGGGGAGAGTCCAGGCGCCAGTAACCACACTGTTCAGTTCGTCAAGCTCCATCCAAATCTCAGCACCAATACCACGATTGATTTTTGAGACGGTTCCATAGGGGCCTCTTCCTGTACATCCAAATATCTGCTCTGGGTTCGAAAATGTTTGATGACTTGCCTTCGAATGTGGATGTTGCTCTAGAGAAAGCAGCGATTGGCTGCTGGGGATTGTCACAAAATCATTCAATGGAATCCAATTCTGAAGAGTTGCAAGAAGTCTGGCTGGCTGTCTTGCTTGTACCTGTTTTTGTGAGCGAAGCCTATGAAGTTAATTGCCAGGAACTTACCCAATACAAGCCGCCCGGGCACGAATCTCCGCCAACCACGAGAATATCACCAATAACACCGTCTGGTCCGGGAAATTTCGAATCAAGACTAGTGAACGCTGTGCCGATGTTGCAAGTGATTGCCCCGATATTCATTCCAGTGCACAAAAATTCATCAAAGTTGCTTTCCAAATATTTAACCAAGCCATCTTCTCTTGCAATATAGATATCATCATTAGTTGCAGCGTATTTTTGGGTGCGGACTGGTCTTGTCCATGAAGTCCAAAGGGGGGCATTCCGTCCTTTGTGAATAGGGCTAGGCTCATCGTGGCCAAGATAGCTTTGATGACATTGTGGACTTCCCTCCAGCAACCCTTCACAAACTGCCACACTCTCCTCACAGACAAGAACAAATGCAGACTTGATAGTCAAAGGTATCAATAAAATCGGTGTGCGATAGCATTCGTTAAGCAAGTGGCCCTTCTTATAGTTCTGCCGTATAGCACTCAAAGTTTGTCCACAAATCCACTCATATACGTGCATTCTCGTTTTGCCATTGCGAGATATGAGAAGTAGGAGGATGATATGGTCCGGGTCCTTGAATGAAGGAAATAAAAACTCAATCTTCAAAATGACACCCTTCACTTGGAGCGACCGCTCCTCTCTTATGCAAGACAGTGGTTGTCCAGATATATATTGAGCCTCCATTTCTTCACGAGACTTGAGAGAGTAGATCGAAATGACGTTTTCAGAGCAACCAAGAGCTAGGTATCTCGAGCTTGGATCAGCTGTTAGATGAGCGCCAAGGTTCTCACCAAGTAATGGTTTTGCTATATTGTGCCGACTCAGAATTGGTTGGATGAGTGCATCAGGCCCAAAGTCGGGCGAGCAAAGAAACATCAAGTCTCCAGCCTCCAAAACAAAAACAATCATTTGGGGTCCGAGACGATAATTCCCTCGATTATCGGGTTCAAACATGCAGAGGTCTGAAGAGTCATCAGCGACTAGAGATGAATCATCACAACTCATAGAGGAATCGGATTCACCATGGCTGCTTGAGTCAACATTTAGCTCGCCATGTAATCCCACCCTTTGGCCCCCTTCTTCGGGTTCGCTGTATTCGTTGGAGGCTCCGGGTTTTGGTTTCCTCGAGAATTCCCCGATACTGCCATCCTGCTTCGGAGCCGAGGGGCTCCATTTTATAGAGCCCAAAACTCGTGCATTACGGATGCGAGATCCTAAATTGGCAACCCGGCCTACTTCAGATAGTTGTGCTGATTTTACCAGCCTCTTGACTTGGAGTAAATTATCCTGTCATGTATGTCAGCTTGTATAAATGACCATGGAAAATCATATCAAAATAATATGTTTGATGTTAAAGGACGACAAATGTACTCCTCATCGACAAAGACAGTCAAATGAGGATACAAATTATAGTGGTAATAGTGGGAAAGATCAACGCACCCCGATGAATACGACATCATGGTCTTCGACGTTCCCCAACCTTGCTGGCAATATCCAATTGCTGTTTGGGCTATCTATTACCGTCTGTGTGAGTAAGCCGACTTTTGGCGGCTTGTTGAATTCTAATTTGACTCCCCCCTGAGTTGAGTTCCCTGAAAGTATAGTCTCAATGTCGACTTCGCGCTCCATGAATCGTCCATCCACCCAAGAGGCTGTCGAAATTACCCCTTCCATGGTTGATTGTGATGAGGTCGCTAGTCAGCTGCTGATGGGGCTATAGCATACCGGAGTTTCAATCCAGCCTCATGTAATGACAGTTGCATCTCTTTCCTTGCCAATTCTGTGCGCCATTCATCTTTCACCTGCCGTCGTACGAAATATGTCACAGTTGTTTCCTATCTCATGAAAATCGAATCCGAGTACTAGGTTCCAAGCGACAAATGTGTAGACTGATATAGAAGGTTCCAACATATGTCAGAATGAAGGTAGGCCAAAGGTTACTAGGTATAGAGAGGGTCGTCTGTTACAGTTGTTATGGTGCTATTGTATTGGGTCCCATGACCCTGTCACGTGTATATCAGCCTTCTTCGACATTTACGGCAACGTCCGCTGTATGGGCCATGAATGGCTCTAAAAGGTATAAGGCTGAACCTACAACTGGCTTCTGCATCACAACACATTAAGATGATAACAGGTACCTGAAACCAGCGTCCTCCTGCCGGTGTGGCACTGTACTATAATAATTCTACTGGAAGCCAGTACCCCAGTCTTTTCCGCCAACCATCACTGTTTCTTCCTGATGAAACCAAGACGCCAAAGAATTATTCAACACCATGGAGTCGGCCGAAAAGGTAGCTGCCGAACATCAAACTCTCGTGGAAGACTGTCATATTTCAAGGGCGGCTACAATGGACTCTAACCACCGTCCTCAAAACCATGGCCCCAAGTCTAAACAAATCGAGGAAGCCTGTCAATGGAAAGACACTCACCGGCTGAGGGGTCTGGCTTTGTCGGAGGGGGGGTTGGTATCAGACGATATGCGGCGCAAGGCCTGTAAGTCTCTTTTCTATTGATCACTGAAGATGTGCTAATTATACCGAACAGGGCCAATTCTCCTGGGATTCTCCGCCGACAAGACTGAGCCCACTGCAGACGACCAACGACGCTGGCAGACATTACCTAAACATGCAGATGAAGACCAGGTTCGACTTGACGTGAACAGAGCCTTCATCTACTACCCTACAGGTGAGCCATTTCAAGACTTCTGTCGGCAAATAATAACAATAACATAGACCAAACTGCCAAGCAAATCGACACAAGGAAGGGGGAGTTATCAGACCTTATCACCGAGGTTCTTCGGCGTCAACCATATCTGTGCTATTTCCAGGGATATCATGACATTTGCCAGGTGTTCCTTCTTGTCCTTGGCCACAAAAACTGCTCGGAGGCGGTTTCACGTTTATCAGCACTTCACATTCGTGATTTTATGCTCCCGACATTAGCTCCAGCCCTTGCTCAGTTACGGCTCATCCCAGGAATTATACGCACTGTCAACCCAAAGCTATATCAGCACTTGTCCGAAACGCAGCCCTTTTTTGCGCTCTCAGGAACTCTCACAATGTATGCGCATGACATACAAGAATATGGTGACATCGCGCGGCTCTTCGACGTATTTTTAGCACGGGAGTCTATCTTTTCTGTATACATGTTCGCCCAGATCGTTCTGAACCGTTCCGAGGAACTTTTCGACACCCCAGCGGACGAGCCTGAGATGCTACATTCGATATTATCTAAACTTCCGAAACCCCTCAACTTAGAGCGGTTGATTTCCGATACAACGAAGCTGCTGGATCAGCATCCGCCGGAGAGTCTTCCCCTATGGTCAAAAATATCAAAGTCAAGTGTCTTGAAAACAGCAAGATCGCCGGAGCAGGTGGCAAAGCAGAGCCTCAAAGATGGACAGATGTATTTCGAAAAACAAGTCAAGGAGCTACAATGGGCCGAACGACGGGAGAAGATCGTAAGGCAACTCTGGAAGAACAAGAACCCAGCCATAATAATTGGAGTCGGCGTTCTGGTGGGCTTGTTGTCATATCACATGCGGAAGTCCCCAAGCATTTACCACTTGGTATCAGAGCTTTGGAAATGACCGTTGTATAATGAGTATATGAAATAGACCAGTTTATACACTGTCTAGGGTATGTTCAAGATATTTGCCGCGTCTCTGGGAGGCATTTGACCCTCTGTTGGCCATTAACTTCCACATAAAACGAGTTCACAAAGTTTGTCGAGTCCAGTCACAATTCAAACGGAGTTCCGGACCCATGTCACAATTGCATTAGAAGTTATCCCTGCACACAACCCTGCGATATTGTAGCTTGGTACTGCGCTCAGGCAAATGTTTCATTTCTGATCTCAAATACACTAAGCTTGTGAATAATGGACGAATCCATCTGAACCACCGTCCCTCGCAAACGCCAACCAGACCGTCGCGAGTAGATCACTTTAGCTTCTTCTTTGGGCGGAGCTGGTTGGTGTGGCCACACTTCTTCTTCCTGCAGTTGGTCGCACGGGGAGGGAGGCGGGCCTATATCTCCGTTAGTAACAATCCGAGGGAATATCCAGCCTTTTGACGGTACTGGACTATTCATGTGGTGTTTTAAGGACGTACGTAGCACTTGCGGCAAATCATCTTGTCGCAGTTGAACTTGGAGGCAAGGGCCTTCAGCGATGGCTCAATAATACCACCACGGAGACGGAGGACAAGGTGGAGAGTCGATTCCTAGAACATCTCTGTTAGCCCTGCAAAAATATCTCCCTGATTGCTGATTCTAGAGGTCCCCTCCATGCTCAATTCTTTCCACCACAGTTTCGATGCATTGGACCTCCCGAATTTCACAATATCTTCCTGGTATGATTCGCGTACCTTCTGGATGTTGTAGTCGGAAAGAGTGCGTCCATCCTCGAGCTGCTTGCCAGCAAAGATCAGGCGCTGCTGGTCCGGGGGAATTCCCTCCTTGTCTTGGATCTTCGACTTGACATTGTCGATAGTATCGGAGGACTCGACCTCAAGGGTGATGGTCTTGCCCGTCAAGGTCTTGACGAAGCTGCAGATGCAAAGTTAGTGGTCTGGCCATGGATGTTCGCGGATCGGTAATGAAGTATTTCGGTATTCAGTGCGACTGGGGAGCTTACATCTGCACTACACAGGAATTAGTCGTTAGCAAAGGTTCAACAGAGAGATATTGCGTCTATAGCAGCCAAGGGAGCAACATACTGATGGCGATGGTCTACGTCGTTGTCGATGTTGTTCTCTCTCGAGTCGTTCTTTCAAGTGGGGCGAAAACGAAGTTCAACATGAACATGTGTGCCCTAAAACACTAAGCGATGGCAAGATAGTCCCATTCATCACGTGACATTGTCTCAGGTACGTCTACCAATTTTGGAACCCCACTCCACATCAACCACTTGTGCCCATTGAAAGCGATAATAACGGATCATCATAGTGAAACTACGGGCCAAAATATATTTACGCCATCGAGTTACTTTTCCCCATGAAATTCTTCGTCAGACAATCTTTCCATAATTTACCAGGTAACTACAGATGAACGGCATACCCCAGAGATGAGATGTGAGGCCTATTCTTCAGGCTAGATTATCTGGAGCCTACAAGAAGTAGATCGATATAATATGTGCATTCTATTAATTGAGACCCAAAGAAGTCATAACTTCGTACTCTTCGTTACAGTCTATGTTACAGTCTATGTTGCAGCCTACCCAGACTCCCTTGCCCGCTAATTTGGCCATCAATCGCTATTGCCACAAATTCCAACTCCAAATATCCGACGCCTTAATCCGGTAAACGGTCAGCCATACTATATCTAATTTCAGGGCCATTCCTCAATGCTCTACTTCTGGTCTTCCCTCTCTAGACGCTATATCATGCAATCTTTGTTCTAGCGAGTACACAGTTCTGATCAGAATATTCACAGTCGTGCCAGCGTTCTCAGCTACTCAATATTTGTTAGCATGTGATATGTGAAGAAAATACCCCCAAGGAGTGACAATAGATGCCTACCAGTCTTTGCCACAAACGCCCTTTCGTTTGCAGAAAGGTCGCCGTCCCTCTGCCACCGTTTATAGAAAGCGCCGGGCCTGTTGATCGTAGCAACGTACTGCTCGTCATTTGCAGATATAGGCTTTTGGACCTTTAACCTGCTTTGGACACGGCGCAGACGCTCAGACACGGGCGTTGCTATATCTTGGTCCATTCCGCGTAGGTTTGGCGAATCCTCAATTGGAAATAGGTCGAGAATTTGCTGGGACACTACAAAATCAGCGAAGCTCTCTCCCGGATCCATATGGGTCGGTGAGCTGCGTCTGGAAATCTTACCTTTACTATCCCGTTCACCTGACCAGGTTTGATGGTACCAGTTCAAATAGCGGTCCAACATATCGCCACTCATGTTGAACACATCGGCCTCTGTGACTTTAGCTTCCTGGCCTGGAGTGGCATCACCGCCGTCCATCGCCATGCCACTCCAGTCATCCCAGTCAACCCTCAGTGCGCTCGGGTCTTTGAGACTCTCTGGAGTTCGTATCATATTGTCGAATGGTTGCAGGAGTTTGGTTGATATCACGACCAAAGCCGCAACTTGCAATTCAGGGTATTCGCTCAGTTTGTGCCGTGATAATGTGTTTGGGTATTGAAACCTTACTCCCAGAGCTTCAGCTAGGTGGCAACAAGACCCGTAAATTTCCACTTCCTTTTGGTAAGCAAGGTGTGTTAGTCATGCTGGATGACTGGAGCAACTTACAAGGCAGACAAAGGTCCTTCACAAACCGGAATATTATCAGAGATGTGTTTAATGGCGGGAATAAGATGTTGAAATTGGTTGTGAAGTTAATCATTAGCTCCCCGATACATTGGTGCAAGCGGCCTCTCCTCAGAGATGATCTAGTCTCCAGAGCAGAGTAGTATTTGGGTGGTAGATGAGACTTCATATCAGCCGGGATATCTCGAATCTGGAATCAATTAGCACTTTTGTGCACGTGCAACGGCCGTCCAAAGAATATTAGATAACGCACCACTCGAAAGTAAGGGATTTCATGCTGTTCAGCCCATTTCTGGAGATCTCCCACTGAGACTGGTAGTCTCAAAAGTAATATTGCCATATAACATAGAGCCAAGCTCTCAATAAGCTTCGGCAAACCCCTTTCTCTTGCAATTTTCCGATGCCTCCTGCCCATTTCCATCCCAACACTATCATCTTCCCCTTCTGTCTCCCCCTCGCTTGTTGAACTAAACCCAGACCCGTCTCTTGCATTCCTTTCGTCTTCTCCTATGCCCCTAATATTCCTTATCCTCACTGCCCATAAATCTCGAATAACGGTCTCAAGTTCAGGTGGCATTCCTCTCGCGGTTATGAGCCACATAGCCTGCCTCCTCAACACCACTTGCCAACATTGTGCATAAAGCTTAATGGCTTCGATTCCATCATAAACTATGCCAGTTGCTGCTGCCTCCTTTCGCCTTTTTCTTGTTTTTCTGCCCTCTGTGTTGAAGTCATCTTCATCTGCTGCAACCTGTGTAAAACCTTCCTGGACGTGCCCATGTGACTTGCAAACGCGTTTACCATCCTGGATATAGTAATACCGTGACCGACACCCAGTTGTAGTGCAAGTTTCGCCCTTTGAGAACTTGTGGAAGTCGATGCTCGAATCCATGATTGATGCCCCACTACGTAGGAAACATTTCAATACTATCGTGACTTTTAGCTCCAGTTCCCACGTGCCGAAATCACATGAACGGTCGCAACTTCCTTCCACGAATGAACTTTTTGTAACTAGGCAAAGATCTGGCAAATTATTGCATTATTATACGAGCAGTGTGTTTGGCTACTTAAGGCTCGTAATATCTACATTGCTGCCACACAATTCCTACTCTTTTGACTCCAATTCAACGACACATACTCAAATAATTATGGCAGTTGGTCAGTCAATTTTAGTAGAGGGACTGTTATTTTATTTTTGGCTATCTACAACGATAACTATCATCGCGTTCGTTACAGTCACTGTTGCAAGCTTGGTAGTCGTAGTCGCGACGTGTTGCGACTCGCTAGCGACAGACTTCACTGACTGTAGAACCCGATAAATGTACCAGTAGAATAGGAAGGCAAAGCGATGCGAACAACCACCAAGTTGCCTTTACAACATGACGATCACAAAAATCTAGCCAGGCAGGTGCCTGACAGGCTAGTTATGCCAAGCCGATGAGGGGTAACGAGCCATGGTATGGAAGAAGGCTATTCCGTACAGGCCCAGAGATACATGTCTTGACTTAAACCTCCTTCGCATCGATACAAGCATTCTCGCCCATGGCGGAAATGATAATAACGACTAGATACTATGTTAGCGATGCGTTCTCTTGTCGTCCTGGTTTTAAAACTTACCACCTGACTTCTCATCATCCTTGCTGAGCTCGATGATCTTGTTGATGACTTCTTGTCTCTTATCATCGCCAGCAATGGGCTCTGGCATCTTGATATCATCTCTGGTGTTTCCGGTAGCCTCATCGTACAGGTTAAGGAAACCATCATCGAGAGTGAGCTATATAGTATTAGCGTTTGGACCTGCATTTTGCGGTTGGTTGTGTCTTACGAAGGCGTATTCCTTGCGCGTAACGTTGGGGACATCCATGTTGTGGGTGGATGGGGAAAGATCCTCCAACTTCTTCTTGGTGAAGATGTCTTCAGCGATGAGATGAACCTTGGCGTGTCCATGCTTTCCGGTCTTGGAGGTCGACATGTCGATGATCTTGCAAGGACGGTTCTTGATGAGAACATGTCCACCCTTCCTCAAGGCAGAACACTGCATGGGGTAGGTCAAAGACGCACCCGCATCGGCAGAGTCGATGGTGTAATCTTGCTGTAAAAAAGTTAGTATTGATGATGGGCGCAAGTTCCACCGATTGTCATATAGATTGAAAGCACTAGACTGATGGCGGGGGAAGTGCGGGGGTTTCTTGGAAAACTGCTTACAGAGTCGGCGTCCGCCATTTTGGCTGCAATGCAAAGTGAAAATGGGAGTTGTTAGATTGTCGCGAGTCTGGAATATGCTCCAGGAGAGAATTTGAGACGAATAGAGGGGCGAGGCGTAGTGGGAGTAGAAATAGAAAACCGACTTGGTGGTGAGTTGTGGGATCTAACGAGTTTAGACCCGCACTAGTTCGCCAATTTCTTTAGGTAAGCTGATGAACCAATAAGATGGAACCGTTTCGGCTGGGTGTGACCATGCGGCCATTGGAACACGCCATGAGGAACGCCGACAGGAGTTATCGGCGAGACACGTACGTGTAGACTACATTTTGGCTCTTCAACATTTAGTCATTCAGTGATTGAAAGAACGAAGAGGTCTTTGTTGATGCCTCCGAAGAGTCACTGAGATGTGGCTCGACAGGCTGTCTGGGACTTCCACTCCAGCACTTCGTCCCAACGCGTCCTCTACTCCCCAATCGCGATCGTACTCTCCCGTCCCAAGAAAAACGAGCCGCCTTCTGCCCCAAACTGGGCCTCAACGTCCAAATTTTTCTCCACGGTCTTCGTCTTTGTCTGCCGTTTCCAATGATTCTACAACGTCATTGCTAGGGAATTCTCGGAAACCCACGGACAGCTCCAGTTCGAATTTGAGAAACATAACTCTCACTTACTCAGATCCAATACAGGTCCTTGACAAGCTTCTGAACATTGACCTGGGAAACTTGCCGGTCGCTGATAAGGATGAAATATGGGACAATGATGAATTACTGGGCAATGTTGACTTCACTGGGTTGGCACTGCATGAATTCGTTCAAGAAGACGACGTGAACACGGTCCAAGTGTCAGAGGCACCGGCGGCTGCAAGATGTTAGTGTTTTGCAATTGACATATGGATTTCCATGCTGACCAAGTAAACACAGATGAGATCGATAAAGCTAGATTCGAAGACCTCCATCAATCTATCCGCGCTTGCAACGACATTCTTAATTCGGTTGAACTAAACTTGACAAGCTTTCAAAATGATCTGGGTGACGTTTCTGCGGAGATTGAAACATTGCGAGCAAGATCAACGACACTAAGCTCCAGGATTGAAAACCGGAAGGTTGTAGAACTTGGATTAACACCAGTTGTTGAAGATATCACTGTTTCGCAAACCATTGTGAAAACGATATCAGAAGGCGACATTGATGAGTCGTGGATTGTTGCCCTGAATGTGGTTGGAAAGTGGTCAAAGGCATTAAACGCCAAGGCAATTGAGGCACACAATATAAAGAGCATTACTGATTTAAAGCCCTTGCGTGACCAGCTTGTTAATATTGTGAGTAAATCAAATCGTCATTTTATGTGAGCTCTATGTTGATCCCGGGACATAGGCCATCGAAAGGATCCGGGACTTCCTAGTCGCCCAGATTAAGGCTCTACGATCACCGAATATAAACGCTCAGGTCGTTCAGCAACGTCACTTCATTCGATACAAAGATCTGTTTTCATTTCTATGGAATCATCATCAGACCTTAGCCGAAGAGATTGGACAGGCTTACATGAACACCATGAGATGGTACTATTTAAATCATTTTACTCGATATGAGAGGGCGCTCTCAAAAGTTAAAATACATGCAATAGACAAGCATGATGTTCTTGGGAATGATGACAGTCCACGCAAGAGCACGCTGCTTACCACGTCAAAGGCAACTGGGCCGCCGCATGATGCCTTCAGCCTGGGACGACGCAACGACATCCTCACGACATCAAACCAATCGGCTTTACCTAGCCATTTAGCAGAAGACACGGCGACTCATTACCTCGAGTTCCCATTTCGCAACTTCAACCTGGCTCTCATTGACAACGTTTGCGCCGAGTACTCGTTTCTCACCACTTTTTTCTCGCCCTCTCTTTCATTCCATACCATAGCGCGCTACTTCAACTATATCTTCTCGCCCACATTTGAACTTGGTCACACTTTGACGAAGAGCCTTGTTTCTGAGACTTTTGACTCGTTCGGCCTGTTACTGTGTGTGAGACTGAATCAAAAATTCAACTTCAAATTACAGAGGCATAAGATACCTGTTGGAGACAGCTACATCAATGGAACGAATATGCTTCTATGGCCACGCTTCCAGGTCATCATGGACTTGCACTGCGAGTCGGTTCGGAAACTAACGGCTAACTTGCCCACGGCACCGCCAACGTCGAAAGCCGAGCTGGCCAAGCAGTCTGCTGCGCCTTCTTCCATGGCACAACGTTTCGGGCAACTCATCCAAGGAATATTGGAGCTGAGCAAGGAAACTGGAGATGACGAACCTGTAAGCACAAGCTTGGCAAGGCTTCGAAGTGCTCTGGAAGCATTTTTAGCCCGAGTGGCGAAAACTATTGAAGGGGAAAGAAAACGCGAGAGGTTTTTAGAAAATAGCTTCTCTCTGATTTTGACAATTATTGGAGATGCACAGGGTAAGCTGGCTACTGAGCAAATATCTCAGATCCAGGCAATGATGACTACTGCATCGCAAGATACCAAATGAGAATATATTTATTTTCCCATAACTGTGATATTTCACGTTCAAATATAGTTGAAGTGAGACAATTAAATTATTGTTAGTCGGCCTTCTACGGCTCTTTTTGTTTTTTTGGAATTCACCAGCTTACGGTGATTCGTACACAACAATAATGCGCAGATACGTTGAGTCTAGACAATTCAATCCTGAATAGCAGCGCCCGACGAGTACTAGACTGGGGTACTTGATGCCTGACCACAATGTGGAGGGGGTCATCGGCCCCGTTTATCTGTGGCAATGCCTCGGCGGCAACAAGAGCCAGTAACTCATCACGATGATGAGAATCACGAAACAGGTAAGTTATTAAAAGGTTTCGTTAGTCTACTATTTACGTTTGCTAGATCTACTTTTTGCTAAGCGCTTGGCAATAACTAGGTAGCTTACTCGAATCGCTTCTGGACGAGCTCTTCGTAGTAGATATCCGACTAAAATTATGAGTACTCGAGGAACTCGTCGAAAAAACTACTCGGGCAACACTAAGAACAAACATTGCAACGTCTATATTTGCTTTCCAACCCTTCTAGACCAATGTCGCCCCTGTCGAGTTTCACAATATGCGTGTCGGTTGGGGCGCACGCTGCATGGTGCATGAGGCTGGGTATAGGTCGGCGCCTACGAAGCGCCGAATGACTTCAATCGAGGACACACAAGGCTCAAGGCAACAACGATGATTGTACTTACTCAGAGCTTGCAGATGCCTGTAAAAATTTCCTGGAGAAATAAATATTTCTCCTAAATATGTCTCTCGAAAACCCGAATACTTACGACGACGCTGGCAGCAGATAACAATCGCTACTGGAAGGGACGGCTCCATTCGAATCGTCCACCTAGTAGGCTTCTTGTTTCTCCACAGGGCTCCAATTTTATGATAATAATGGATGCTGTTGGCGCTATTGGCAGTATTGTCCAGATACTGGATGCAACGGCCAAGTTGATCGATTATCTGAAAGATGTTCGCGCCGCAGAGAAGCAGATCTTAAGTTTCCAGGCCGAGATTGAAGTTATTCGCTACATTTTATGTGCTCTCAACACATCGGTCGACGAAAATCCGAAGATATTTCATGTAACATTAACAGTCATTGGTGCGGAAGACGGAATCCTTTACGAATTTAACTCGTTCCTCGTCAGCTTCAAAGGGAAATTAGTGGCGAAACCAGGAAGGAAATTATTATGGCCTTTCGACAAATCCCGCATAAAACAGGACCTTGAAAAGATACAAAGATACAAGACCATTCTTATTTGTGCTCTTCTAAATGATTCCATGTTCGTATGCCATTTCTTCTTCGAGCATGCCGGCTCATCAATCATTACATTGGCGCTTCTCATTTCTAGTCGCTGAAACCACACGATTATAAAAACGGGAACTAGCTGATATAAAACCTTATTTAGACTATTAACGAAGGAAATTAAAGACGGGGTCGACATAATTAACACGGTGTTGAAGAGATTACCCACAGTGTTGATAGCATATCAACAGCACTCGAACAACAAAAAAAGCATGATGTTCTCGAGTGGCTATCTCCATCGCGGCGCATTGACTTTTCTCAACAACAAGCAGCACTTACAGCTAAAAGGGCCAAAAACACTGGACGATGGCTAATAGAGTCCGAGCCGTTCAGGCTGTGGCTAGATGGAAAACAAGACTCGATAATTCTGAAGGGCGGCGGCGGCATGGGCAAGACAATGCTGGCGAGCACGGCCATCGAGTATCTCACAAGACTCACTGCAATCAGGCCAGAGAGAAGTGCAGTAGCATATGTATTTGGAAACTGGGCTCACGCTGATAAATTTAACGCCCAAAACTTACTTGCGAGTCTGCTGAAACAGCTTCTTTCAGTGAAGGGTATCAAACTGCCAGAGACGTTAGAGGAGCTGCACTCCTCTAAAAACTATCCTACTTACTCTCAGCTATGTCGCCTGCTTCAATTGGAAGCTGGAAGATTCTCAAAGACTTTTATTGTTATCGATGCACTCAATGAACTTGACGAAGAGACTCAGGATAAGTTACTGAAGATTCTCAGTGAGTTGCAAACCAGCTTTGCAATAAAGTTGATGGTAACGTCTCGGGATCCGTATCGAATTTTGCAGTATATCGCATCGGCCACGCAGCTTGATACTCGAGCAACTAAAGAAGACCTTAACCTGTGGATGGACGAAAGTCTGAGAGCGTTACCACCTGGCTGTTTTGTTGCCAAGTCGCCGCTTGAAACCCACCAAAAAATTAAGGGCACACTAGCGCAGGCTGCCGACGGCATGTGAGTTTAATGCCACCTCTTGCGGGAAACTACAGACTGGGCATGGAAGCTTATCAATTCAATCAGGTTCCTTTTGGCAAAACTCAGTATGAGTGCTATTTCGAAGGTTTCGAACCGCAAAAAGCTTAATCAGGCTTTAGAGTCTATAGCAAGCGGTGGCTATTCGTTGGATGATGGATACAATGATACAATGAAACGCCTGAAGGCTCAATCCAGCGGAATGCTGACCGATTCGATCATATTACTATCTTTCGTAACCCATGCTTCTAGGGAACTCACAGTCTCAGAGCTAGAGCACGCACTAGCAATTGAAGTCAACGAGTCATCCTTCGACACAGACAATATTTCAGACTTGAGAGAAGCTATTGATTCATGTAGTGGACTTCTTGAGATTGACCCGAGGATCAAAAGGTCATGCTGGTCCACGTAAGTTTATCTCTCTGCAGTTGCCTATGTTATATGCTGACGATTAGAAGACACCGCCAAGGAGTATTTGATCGTACAAAAGAAACGCATTTCCCTGATGCAAGCGCAATGATTACCGAGAGATGCCTCGCATATCTTTCTGACAGTAATCTAACGGATTCATGTCAATCTTATGAAAGCTACAATTTGAGAGTAGCGTCCTTCCCGTTTTTAGAGTACGCTGCACAAAATTGGGGATTCATGCTTCCAGGGAGAAGTTCAGAGGACTCTAAGTGCAAATATTTTTAGCCTTTCTACGCAAGACATCTAATGTCGCGTGTTCTGCCCAGGCACTGCTTCAGTCTCCGGACCACTGGTGGTATGTTATGGATCAATTGAGCCACAGATGTCCCAGGATATCTCAGGACTTCACATCTGTGCATGGTTTGGACTTCTTCTTACAGCAACTCAACTCATCGAAGAGGAAGTAGATGTGAATATTACCGACCATAATCAAAGGGGTCCCTTGTGGTATGCTGTTTTACAACAGGAAGAAAGAAGCTGTCACATTGTTGCTGAAAAACGGGGCAGAAACTTCAACTGAAGGCCCTCTGTTGCCAGTTTTGAAGAATGTGTCAGGAGCAGTGACCCAGAGATTGTCGAAATTCTGGGCGGCTTCCAGAATTACAGCGCTGATTGCTGCGGCGACATGTTGAAGCTAGCAGCCCAAAATCCTCACTGTGGTGCCGACATGGCGGAGCTGGTGCTCAATTCATACCCCAGCGTTCCAATAGAGGAAATATATGAAGGGTTCATACTATCAAGTGCGTCCAACCACTTGTGTGGCAAATCCATTTTAAGCATGCTCATCAACCGTGGGTGGAAGATTCCTGTTGATCTGAACATAATCAGGGTCTTATCAGAAAATATGTCATCCGGAGCAGATATTCTTAAATGTTTATTATCTCAGGGTGATATCGATCCCGATCCTTCTATTTTTGAGGTTGCGGCTTGTGGGTTGGCAAGCGATGTTATGGAAGCACTCCTGGATTATCAACCGGAATTTCAATTTAATGTGGATATACTCCCACTCACGGCGCGGGGTAATGAGGAGATGTTCCTCACGGTCCTCAGGCGCCATCCACATTTCGAAGTTACGCAACAAATGCTGGATAGGCTGGTTCAAAATACTGCTCTAGGATCGGCAGCAATGGAAGCGCTTCTCGAACATGCACCGCCAGGGACTCTGAAAATCGACGACGGTATCGTCATGTCCGCTCTTAAAGCTACATACAATGGATCTCATCTTATACCATGGCTTCTAAGCCACTATGAAAATCCCCAGGAAAAAATCTCGGAGAAGATATTGGTAGCGGCGGTGGGAGGCAACGATGCTATCAGAATTCTCAGTATTATCAAGTCATTCGAACCAACATTCAGGGTGACCTCTAGGATGCTCTTAGTTGCTGTATCAGGTCTCGGGACATATACTACATCAAGAAGCGAGGTGCTTCAGTGGCTATTGCAGCATGATCCAACTTGCAGGATTGACGAAGTTTCCATGGTTGAGTTCCTCAAGCCCGGTAACAGCATTTCATTTGACATGCTACTATCTTATCAGCCGCAACGGCTCACATGTCCCCTGGTTTTTGCCTGTGCCAGGTCCGTAGAGGCCTTGGAATTGCTCATACGCCAAGGAGAGGATATTTCCGATCCAGATATTATCGACGCCATGACAGAAGCTGTTCTGAGGACGGGTCGTGATGAGGACTGGATTTCCAAAATGCTAGGCCATATTCAAAAGCAACGCCTGCGCATTACATCCGCTTCATTAAAAGCTGCGGCTGCGAATAAGAACACGTCTGGTGCTATAAAGTGGGTCTTAGACTACGATTCCACTTTAGAAATACCTTCTGAACTCTTCGAAGAGGTAGCATGGACGCCTGCTAGTGCTCCAAAGTTGGAACTCTTAGAAAAGAGGAATAGAGGAGTTGAAATGACGGAACGATTGTTTATAGCATCAGCAAAGTCTAAGGATGTAAGAACTCTTCGATGGGCGCTAGACCGATCTGATGTTGTGCATATTACACCTCGAGCCCTGGAATATGCAGCAGGCGTGTATTCCTACAAAACGGACAATGTTACCCGTATGAAATTGATCACAACCAAGAACCCATCAATTACTATTACAGAGGAAACATTGAGGCGGACATGCCAGATTGCATCGAGGGATATTAAGCCCCTAGAATGGTTATTGGCCGAGTATCCTCAGCTGTCTCTCACAGAAATTCCAATGGCTGCTCTCCTTCGGGGCGGACAATCTTCAGCAGTTGTGAAGACCATCAAGGAGCACCTCCCGAAACTAAACATTACGCAGACCCTGTTGACTGCAGCTGCTAAAAATGAGTTTACGGAAAAGGCCTTGGAGTTGATATTAACTTTCGACATCGGGGGATTACTCTCGGAATCGATTCTTACAACTATAGCAGGATCCAAGCATGCGGCATCAAAATTTAAAGTTCTCCTCAGGCTGCATTCAGCCTCTGTGAGCGTATCAGATATTGTACTTCGAGCTGCGTCTGAGACTCCCCATGGATCAGGTGCACTGCAATGGCTGGTCTGGTTCTCAGAACCCAGAAAGCCGAACCATACGCCTGTTTTGCCGTATGACGCAATGGTATGGTATCTTAATCGAGATCCATCACCTACCATTACGCAGAAGATGCTTGTGGCAGTGGCACACCAACCGTGGGGTGGAGATGTGCTAGCCCTGCTTCTCAAGCGCAACCCCATATTTATCATTTCCAAGGAGTTGATGGAAGCAGTTTGCTACAACTGGGAGTTTGGAGAACACCAATGCAGGCTCTACTCAGCCACCATAAGCACACCAGGGTCTCGGAGGATATCCGCTCTGCGGTCTTGAAATGGGCGAGCGGTACGACGTCCAGTATATATAAACTTATCAGGGAGCATAACGACGACATTGATTTTCGGTAACCCCTGAAATACTGCCCGTGGATATCTGACACGCATCTCTCAACGATATTTTGGATACAATGGACTACGAACTGCTCATTTCACAGAGGGTGCCAGCGACCTGAGTCTCCATCGTCTCTATCCCAGCCAATTCACGAAACGAAACAAACCCCTACGATCTGCTAATGATATATGATACGACATGATATGACAAATATTTACTGCTATTTATTCTCGATTTGTTCTCGATTTTTCACCGCGATTACCATCACTCCTGCAACTATTTTGAGTTGGCCGTCACACTGTTTGGTGTGCTTGTAGCTAGTTTAGATGTATTTTTTGTAGTTTTATTGATAACGTAACGTATGGGGTAGTCGGACATATGGGGTAGTCGGACAAAAAGTTTATTCTACTCTAGTTGACCGAGTCCTACGTGCCACACACTCCTCCAATTCCAATTCTGGGTCGCTTGAATCGTTCTCTACCTCTTCCTCTTCAACTTCCTCGTCTACTTCTTCAATTGGCCGTTTGCGTGGCCTTCCACGTGGTCTTTTCTCGGTTGACTTCAACTCTGCCTCCCGGACAATTTTCAACACTTCCTCGGTACTGAATACAAATTCGCCTTGCAACTTAATTCTCTTGCCCGTAGTTCTTTTCTTTCGTGTCTCAAGTATCTCTTTGTACTCTTTTACCTCCTTCCGAAGGATGCTGAGTTCAGCATTCTGACTTTCAACCAGCCTAGTCATTCTCTTGGCATAGCGTCGAGTTGGTGAAGCAGGAGAGTCACAAGTTGCCATACTTGAATTAAATACTAAATTTGCATGCCTTAGTTCAGTTCCATCTGGAGGAGAACTTCGGAGTATTGAGAGATCCAGAGTAGTGATATTGGTTGAGTTTTGAGGAGTGCGAGGTGGTTCGGTTGGTGGAAGTGGAAGGTTAGCCAGAACTCTTTCTGGGAGAAAGGGTATTAAACCTGCTGCCCTCCACCCACTTCTAATGTTTTGAGGTATAAGACCCTTCTCTCGAATACACCNGCGGTGGGAGGCAACGATGCTATCAGAATTCTCAGTATTATCAAGTCATTCGAACCAACATTCAGGGTGACCTCTAGGATGCTCTTAGTTGCTGTATCAGGTCTCGGGACATATACTACATCAAGAAGCGAGGTGCTTCAGTGGCTATTGCAGCATGATCCAACTTGCAGGATTGACGAAGTTTCCATGGTTGAGTTCCTCAAGCCCGGTAACAGCATTTCATTTGACATGCTACTATCTTATCAGCCGCAACGGCTCACATGTCCCCTGGTTTTTGCCTGTGCCAGGTCCGTAGAGGCCTTGGAATTGCTCATACGCCAAGGAGAGGATATTTCCGATCCAGATATTATCGACGCCATGACAGAAGCTGTTCTGAGGACGGGTCGTGATGAGGACTGGATTTCCAAAATGCTAGGCCATATTCAAAAGCAACGCCTGCGCATTACATCCGCTTCATTAAAAGCTGCGGCTGCGAATAAGAACACGTCTGGTGCTATAAAGTGGGTCTTAGACTACGATTCCACTTTAGAAATACCTTCTGAACTCTTCGAAGAGGTAGCATGGACGCCTGCTAGTGCTCCAAAGTTGGAACTCTTAGAAAAGAGGAATAGAGGAGTTGAAATGACGGAACGATTGTTTATAGCATCAGCAAAGTCTAAGGATGTAAGAACTCTTCGATGGGCGCTAGACCGATCTGATGTTGTGCATATTACACCTCGAGCCCTGGAATATGCAGCAGGCGTGTATTCCTACAAAACGGACAATGTTACCCGTATGAAATTGATCACAACCAAGAACCCATCAATTACTATTACAGAGGAAACATTGAGGCGGACATGCCAGATTGCATCGAGGGATATTAAGCCCCTAGAATGGTTATTGGCCGAGTATCCTCAGCTGTCTCTCACAGAAATTCCAATGGCTGCTCTCCTTCGGGGCGGACAATCTTCAGCAGTTGTGAAGACCATCAAGGAGCACCTCCCGAAACTAAACATTACGCAGACCCTGTTGACTGCAGCTGCTAAAAATGAGTTTACGGAAAAGGCCTTGGAGTTGATATTAACTTTCGACATCGGGGGATTACTCTCGGAATCGATTCTTACAACTATAGCAGGATCCAAGCATGCGGCATCAAAATTTAAAGTTCTCCTCAGGCTGCATTCAGCCTCTGTGAGCGTATCAGATATTGTACTTCGAGCTGCGTCTGAGACTCCCCATGGATCAGGTGCACTGCAATGGCTGGTCTGGTTCTCAGAACCCAGAAAGCCGAACCATACGCCTGTTTTGCCGTATGACGCAATGGTATGGTATCTTAATCGAGATCCATCACCTACCATTACGCAGAAGATGCTTGTGGCAGTGGCACACCAACCGTGGGGTGGAGATGTGCTAGCCCTGCTTCTCAAGCGCAACCCCATATTTATCATTTCCAAGGAGTTGATGGAAGCAGTTTGCTACAACTGGGAGTTTGGAGAAACACAATGCAGGCTCCTACTCAGCCACCATAAGCACACCAGGGTCTCGGAGGATATCCGCTCTGCGGTCTTGAAATGGGCGAGCGGTACGACGTCCAGTATATATAAACTTATCAGGAGCATAACGACGACATTGATTTTCGGTAACCCCTGAAATACTGCCCGTGGATATCTGACACGCATCTCTCAACGATATTTTGGATACAATGGACTACGAACTGCTCATTTCACAGAGGGTGCCAGCGACCTGAGTCTCCATCGTCTCTATCCCAGCCAATTCACGAAACGAAACAAACCCCTACGATCTGCTAATGATATATGATACGACATGATATGACAAATATTTTACTGCTATTTATTCTCGATTTGTTCTCGATTTTTCACCGCGATTACCATCACTCCCTGCAACTATTTTGAGTTGGCCGTCACACTGTTTGGTGTGCTTGTAGCTAGTTTAGATGTATTTTTTGTAGTTTTATTGATAACGTAACGTATGGGTAGTCGGGACATATGGGGTAGTCGGACAAAAAGTTTATTCTACTCTAGTTGACCGAGTCCTACGTGCCACACACTCCTCCAATTCCAATTCTGGGTCGCTTGAATCGTTCTCTACCTCTTCCTCTTCAACTTCCTCGTCTACTTCTTCAATTGGCCGTTTGCGTGGCCTTCCACGTGGTCTTTTCTCGGTTGACTTCAACTCTGCCTCCCGGACAATTTTCAACACTTCCTCGGTACTGAATACAAATTCGCCTTGCAACTTAATTCTCTTGCCCGTAGTTCTTTTCTTTCGTGTCTCAAGTATCTCTTTGTACTCTTTCACCTCCTTCCGAAGGATGCTGAGTTCAGCATTCTGACTTTCAACCAGCCTAGTCATTCTCTTGGCATAGCGTCGAGTTGGTGAAGCAGGAGAGTCACAAGTTGCCATACTTGAATTAAATACTAAATTTGCATGCCTTAGTTCAGTTCCATCTGGAGGAGAACTTCGGAGTATTGAGAGATCCAGAGTAGTGATATTGGTTGAGTTTTGAGGAGTGCGAGGTGGTTCGGTTGGTGGAAGTGGAAGGTTAGCCAGAACTCTTTCTGGGAGAAAGGGTATTAAACCTGCTGCCCTCCACCCACTTCTAATATTTTGAGGTATAAGACCCTTCTATAGAATACACCGGAAGATTTCAACCCAGTGGGAGCGCTGGATTCGCTTTATTCCTGCTCGAGTATACCGATCTACTTCCTGAGCATGAAATCACTTAAGAGGTCCATACACCCCAATATCAAGTGGTTGGAGTAGATGAGAGCAATGAGGCGGTAGAATAAGAAGGTCGATGTCATTCTCAATGCACAGTGCAATCATATCGCCAGTAATGTGACTAGAATGGCCATCCATAATCAACATTCGCAGGTGATTTCCAGACTTTTTGCATGACTCAGGCTCAAATACATTCCGCAACCACTCAAATCTATGACTGTTTGAAGTCCAGCCACTATTACTTGTTGAGAAGTGCCACCGTCTGCATCAATGCATTCAAGTACAGTTATCCACTCCTGCTTCCCAGCTGTGACCTTCCAATTGGATTTCAAGGTAGAATCAACAATTATTCGCGTGGATTGAGTCTCTCCAACTGCAAAACCTGTCTCATCCATATTATAGATGTTGCATGGCTTGTACTTTCGCTCTTCAATTCGTGCTTTAAACGCGTCAAACCAAGCTGAAATCTTTATAGGAGTGGCTTCTTTATGTCGTGCAGACTCTAGTTGTCTTGAGTAGACCCCTTTAAAGTTTGGATGTCGTTTTAAGAATCTATAGATCCATTCATGGCCTATGGGGGTAGGATTGTGTCATACTGACATTCGTTGCACTCAGTTTGCTATCAAACTCAAGAGCAAACTTAGAAATCTCCTCCTCAAACCTACAAGTCACCATACATATCTTGGCTTATCACACCAACAACAGAAGCAATACTACTCAACGATTGCTGCAAACTCTTCTACTACATCTGTTTATGCTACATACATCACGGCATATCATTTGGACACTCATTGAACAAGTTATTAAGAAAATCTCCTCCTTAAGGGGGTGGGCCAATACTACCACATGGCATATCTCTACCAACTAGAGGCCTAGGAACATGAACGATAGCTCTAGAAGCTTCTACAACCCTCTATGATTCATTACACGTCATCGCTCCTTAGTTACCCACAAGATTGGTTAAGTTATGACATAATTTGTCTATAGGTACTCTGACCTTGGACCTCCTTTTCACTTCCTATAGGCTAGGAACCCAAGAGATGGTTCTATGGGATTCTCTTACGTTCACTACATGATTAGCAAGCTAGTTGTGGGTCGCACTTGATTTCTAATACATTTACCAAGCCTGGTTAGTCATGGAAAGTCATGGAAAATAAGAGAACTACACTCCTTTGGCATAAATAGGATTGCCCTTTCCTTAAGAAAGGGCAAGCAGGCAATACAGTAAATCGACTAGCACATACTTCCACGTCTTTTCCAAGCTTCCAAGCATTGATCTTGTTATTCTCTGTTTTTGAAAAGTCAGTGAGGTGCTAACCTCTGACTTACCCCTGAGTTCTCAGACTCAACATTTGTTGCAACTTGTCTAAACCACTTCACCACATCATACACCTGATTGCTGCGTTGTGGAATAGTCTAAGCTACAACCCTTTGGCTCTGTTTCCTAAGACAGTGTGTTGTCTTAGTAAATTCATCCCTTCCTTGGGTGGCTAGATTCTCATATCTGGTGCACCCACCATTACACCTTGCCTGCTTCAAGCTTCAACTATTTCTATAGCAGCACTTCGATACTACAATGGAGGACGACCAAGCTCCTACAACTACTGCTGAACAGCAGATGCAACAACTGTTTGCCTTTATACAAACTATAGCAAACAAACTTGAGAATTTGGAAAACACCTTTCAAGCCAACACTTCAGCAACACAATCTTCAACTCAGACACATCATACAGAGCTTCCCACAGCTCCTCTGGCTATTTCGAGTACCCCAGGTGCACTTCCTAAAGTGCAAACACCAGATTTATACCATGGAGACAGGAGGAAGTTGAAGGGATTCCTTATGCAACTGGACATCTACTTCACCCTCAGGCCTCATCAGTTCACCTCAGACATTCAGAAGATCTATTTCGCTGCCAGCTACCTCCGTGGATCTGCATTCAACTTCTTTGAGCCATATCTTAGAAGACTTAGTGGCAACAACCAAAATACCACTACACCTTTGATTACCTCTTATGACCAGTTTCAAGAGGAACTTACCAGGACCTTTGGAGACATCAACGAAACTGCTACAGCAGAAAGAGAGCTACAGAAGCTATGTCAAAAGACCTCTGCTGCTCAGTATACAACAGAATTTAGGAGAATCACTTCTCACTTGACTTGGAATGAAGAAGCCTTAGTCTTCACTTACTACCAAGGGCTCAAGAGCTCTATTAAGGATGAACTCAGCAAAGAAGAACGCCCTACAACACTTCAAACGCTTATAGAGAAAGCTGTCAGACTTGATGATAGGCTTTTTGAAAGAAGAAAGGAGAAGAACCAAGACTGGCATCCAACAAGAAATTTCAACAATTACACCTCTACACCAACTGCTAAGGACTCAGCACCTGAACCTATGGACTTAGACGCCTCTATAAAGAGATCTACAGCAAATCCAGCACCTCAGCCTACAGGATACCCTCAAAAACTGAAAAGGGGTAAACTTACCCCTCAAGAAAGAAAACACAGAATGGACAACAACCTTTGTTTATACTGTGGCAAAGGGGGACACAGAATTCAGGAGTGCTATTCAGCACGGGGGAGTGCTGATTCAAAACATATAGCAGCCTCAGACACAGTCACAACTGCTATTCCTGAAAAACTTGAAAAATCCCTAGCAGGCACAACTTCAACTGAGACTATAACTTCTCCCCTAGACAACAAAGATGTGTCGATGGTGCTTTCTCAGAGTCTCACACACCTGTTAATCCCTATTCAACTCCATTTCAAACAACAGGTGTTGTCTACAAGGGCTATGATAGACTCAGGGGCAACAGGCAACTTTATATCTCAAGACCTCATCTTGACACACCAGTTACCTACAATTCCCAAACGCACTCCAGAGTTGCTCCGAGTCATTGATGGAACTCCTATCAGTTCAGGTTCCATTACCTGCAACACCCCAGTACTCAAACTTGAGATTCCCCTAGGAAAATCAACATTTTCAGACACCATCTCTTTAGATGTTATACCAATGAAGTACCCAGTCATCCTAGGTCTTCCATGGCTTCAAAGGCATGATCCAACTATCAATTGGAAGCATTTATCGCTTGGGTTTAGCTCAAATCCTGAGCTCAATACTGGAAAAACCCTTCAAGCCTCAGTTACCCCTATTCAGGTCCAAGACTCAAACTTGTCCCAGATCAAGGATTTTGACCAAACTATGGACGATATATCATCTCTGATATGGGTTAAACCTTTCCAACCTGTCCTGGAGATAGCAGCTACTTCAGATTTGGAGAAATCATCTCAGGAGGTCATTTTGCCTTTAGCATACCAAGACTACCAACATCTTTTTGACAAGGCAAAGGCATCAATTCTGCCAAAGCACCAGCCTTATGACCATGAGATACCACTCGCAGAAGGCTCAATGCCTCCCTACGGCCCTATCTACTCTCTATCTGAATTAGAGCTGAAAACTCTCAGAGAATACCTAGATGAGAACCTTAGTTCTGGCTTTATCAGAACTTCTTCCTCACCAGCAGGAGCTCCCATTCTCTTTGTCAAGAAGAAAGATGGCTCCTTGCGTCTCTGTGTTGATTATAGGGGCCTTAATGCAGTCACTGTTAAAAACAGATATGCTTTACCCCTTATCCCTGAGCTCATAGATAGGCTCTCTTCAGCAAGGATCTTTACCAAGTTAGATCTCAGGGGAGCTTATAACCTGATACGCATCAAGGAAGGTGATGAGTGGAAGACAGCATTCAGAACACGCTATGGTCATTTTGAATACCAGGTAATGCCTTTTGGGCTTGCCAATGCACCTGCTTCTTTCCAAGCTCTCATGAATGATATTCTAAGACCTTACTTGGATATCTTTGTTGTTGTCTACTTAGACGACATTCTTATATACTCTTTAGACACTCAAGAGCATG